ATAATAATAATAATAATAAAATGTCAAACTTGTGGCTTTTAGGACCCAGTGTTGTTCTCTGGAAGTCTAAGAATGAATCTTGATCCATTTGATCAGTACAGTGACAATGACATATGGAATGCACTGGAGCATTCACATTTGAATGGTTTTGTTCGCTCTCTGCCCGAAGGACTACAATATGAGTGCAATGAAGGAGGAGAAAACCTGAGGTAAAATCCTGTAGCAGTAGAAGTAAGAAAAGGAACCAATAGCATAATCAGTTCACTGGGAACTTTTCTAGAGTGGCCAGTCTTGTGAAATTAAGTAAGGAACAGAATGTGTGTTGTATTGGTACATAGATATGGATTAAAAAGATTTGCAAGGCATATTGAGATTATGATTGATAATTAATTATTATTATTAATCATTAAAGTTACACATTAAGAAATTTGCTGAAAGCACCAGGGAATTAATTACGAAGTACTTTCAATGATTTTCTCAGTGCTGAAATCTTTAAGTTTTTAATCATGTTTTATCCTTTTGTAGTGTTGGTCAGAGACAGTTGGTTTGCTTAGCAAGAGCTTTGCTGAGAAAAACCAAGATCCTGGTTTTAGATGAAGCCACTGCTGCTGTTGACATGGAAACAGATGACTTGATTCAGACAACTGTCAGGAATGAGTTCAAAGACAGCACAATTCTTACAATTGCTCACAGACTAAATACAATCATGGATTACACTAGGTAAGTTCAATAAGTTGTTTTTATAATTTCTTTTAGGAAGTACAGTTTGAGTTATAGGACTATTGTAATACAACGACAAAGTCTGTAGTAAGTCTTTCAGTATCATTTACCTTTTCACTGAAGGATTAAAATTATATATATCCAATCAATAATGGACAATTTGTTTCTTTATGCTTTCAGGGTGTTGGTACTTGATCATGGTGAAATTAAAGAATTTGACTCTCCTACTGATTTACTTGCAAACAAGAGGTCAATATTCTTTGGAATGGCAAAGGATGCAGGACTGGTTTAATGATTAAAGGCCCACTGCACATATGGCAGTTATGTGAGGGGGTTGAACCCTTAAGCCAAGAGTATTCATCTACATCTGCAAATGAGATTTCCATTCAAGAAATAATAGTTTTTGTGCTACTGTAAAGATACCATAAAAGGAACGGGTTTAACAAAATCATTTAAGATTATTTTTCTGTGAACATTTGAGTGTTGCATGTATGACAGCATCTAGTACACTGTTATTATAAGCTAAAACTCAAATATCTCCCAGTTTTCAGTTGTAAAAACATTGGTAGTGATGAACATGTAGTTATACCTTTAAAAGTAGATTAAAAATATGAATGTTTGTTCATGAAACTTAATACTAAAAATTAATTATACTTACAGATAAATGGGTTTTTAATATATTACAGTGTATATTTTAGTCAGTGACAAACTTTCTAAATATTACTTAACTACTGAAGTTATTATCTACAGTGCAATTAATGATTCTTTAAAATCCAGAATGATCAGTGTACATTGGAGGATACTTACTATGACTTTAGTTTAGTGGCATTTGGTGAGCACAATAAAATTAGGGCATAAGCTCAGCATCTGTGACTCTGTGCACAAATAATTTAAAAAATACTGGGTGAAAAAGAGATAAAATGCCAGAAATACCTCTCTACTTTACATGCGTTCAGCTTGAAAGTCCATCCCCCTTATGTCAAACAAACATTCATCTGACAGAACCAATGTAATGTCAATAAACTAAGATCCTTAAACTTGGGAGAGCATGTTCAAAATATGGAAACTTCTTATTGAAGAATTTAGCAGCTTCCCTTGCCCCCATATATCATTACAACGTACCATACCATTTATATTCATCCTCTTGCAAATTACAACAGACATCATAAATTTTAATTTGGCTTTTAATTTCATTTTAAATACCCTACACAGCAAAAGTTACAACAATTTTATTGGTCAACAATATTTTGAATATAATATATCTACTTCGAGCACTGATTTTCCGACCATGTTTTGTCCCTGCAAGCACACACTTTAAAAATGCTGTCAGTCAAACAAAACAATGGAAGAGTGAGCAATTTTACTTTTTGAGATGACAGGAACTCTGAGCAAAGCAATGAAAATTTTGTCATATCTTATTTTTGTTTCCTTGAGATAATTTCTTAAAGCTGCAATTGTCATGTCCAGAATTTTATACAAATGCATGGATAAAAAATAGTAGTTGTTTTATCAAATAACAGATTACAAGTGCCATGTGACTAGATTTTCCTTAGTCATCTTCTTGGTATGGCGATTGTGATGAACTATTTTCCATTTCTTCATCCATGGCCCAACGATGGTGGTGTCAAAATCATCGACTTCCTTGAGAGTAGAATAGAAAAAAAATTATTAAAAGAGTACATACTTCGTAATTCTATATAGAAATTCGACAGCTGTGTCTATCACTCATCCTTGACTTATCACACCCGAAACCTATATATCTCATTCCCTGAAAGTAACAATTAACATAGACTTGACAGACACCAAAATATGTCAGCAAAATATATGTAATGATCTTAATTGAACTGTCAAAGTTGGTGAGTACTTTGCCATCGTACATCGTATATGTACATACTAAGCTTTAAACATGTTATTCATATGACAAGAGAAATTATACCGGACAGTGGCACAGTGACCTCAAAATGACTTAAAGACCTCCACATGAAATAAAAGAAGTATTAATTTTCAAATAGGGGAAATAAAAGAAGTATTAATTTTTAAATAGGGGAAACATAAAAAAAGTGGCACTAAAAATTAATTAGTTTGGTATTAACATTATGTCTCACCATTCCCACAGATTTGGTCTGTTCCTTATTTCTGTTCACACCAACAAATGGGTCCCAGTCAATTTTTAAATTTGGCTCCTGAGATGAACGCAACAATATGCCTTCTTTTAAGCCATGAAATCCAACAGGTTTGCTAGGGCTTTGCCAACGCAAGTCCAAGCTCCAGCGAATGTCATCAGAGTAATTGTTCAAACTTGGAAAAAATTAATAAATGAATAAATAATTTAAAATAAAAATTACTGTAGTGATTCTGTGTATATGATATACATTTGGTATAACCATGCAGAGAGTTATCTTAACAGTTTAAAAGGTAAATGATACTTTTGTGAAGAATATTCACCTCTGAGGTTTAAGTCAAGGACAAGCCTAAAATGAAGATTCTGAGTAATTTTTATTTTACAGCATAGTATTAATTTCTGTTTGGTTAAAATTAAAATGGTTCGTTCTACCCAATGTATCTTAACTCACAAAACTTAACTTTTTTTCTGTAATGAAATATATAAACTCTCATTTAATTCCCACTCTCAAAATGCATTGCTATACCTCCGATGAGGGATAAGATTGTTGAGGAGCACCATTCCTCCATATGGCACAGGGACTGATACTATATCCTCCTCCAGGTTTACACCTAGAATGATGGATATATGACACACATGATCAGAACCAGCAAACCATAATTCTTAGTCATATATGTTAGAATAACAATTCACATCTTGACTTCACCATGCACAGCATCATGGCTTATAAACAGTCACACTATCAAACCTAGCTTCCGTTGCTGTTATACTGTCACACAAACTACACCAAACTATCAAACTTCCCATCCTGCTACATCTCCTACTGTAGTCTATATGTACGTTGCTACACTTACCAAAATGTTGTATGTCTACCACAATGTCAAACCTACCAAATTGCCAAACCATATATGCCTACCACATTGCCACACCTATCACAATTGATGTCACACTAACCACACAACAGTCAAACTTTATATGTTAACCACATTGTAACACCTATCTCAATGTCATTCACACTATCAAAGCTACCACGCTGTCCCATCTACCACTTTGTCACAGTGTCAAATCTACCACGGTATTATCTGCTACAAACTCCTAAAATAGACCCATTTGCTTTTTAACAGACTGATGTTATTCTCTTGAGGGTTGTTCATTTTGTTTCATAATGTCAGAGAATAAGACTATATCAGATAATTATCAGCATAAATTTTATAAATTGGTTTGTGTTACTGCAAAAGTCCATTTTCTCTGACATGTATGCCTTTTTTGGTAATCTGATGAAAGTGACAAGAACCAATACAAATCTGCCTGATCTTTCATTTATCATTTGAAAAATGACACACCTATAACTTAATTAAATTTACAGCACTTGCTGTTATTATCTAACACTCTTCCATGCCTAGTCTGCTGTTCATCCATCCAAATGTCATATATACTACCACCCTAGCTCTTGTACTGCCACAATTTTCAAAACAAAGTGCAGCACTTGTTAAATTCAAAAAGTCTTTCTTCTGTCACAGAGAGCAATGTTTTATACATGTTATATATTACAATAAACCTTATTACTGAGTTATATGTTAACAGCTACAGATACATACTAACCCAGAGTTTTTTCCATTTCCTCTTCTCTCAGCATAGTGTACCAGGTATCTCCTGCACAGCACTCGTGTTCACACACTCTGCCTGACTGGTGACCTTTTCTTACAAACTGAAATAATACGTTTACATGTTACGATATTAATATTCCATAGGTGCTAGTAATGGTGGCTGTCCATGTTAATGATTTTACTTTTTCAAAAAATCTATTATCATGACAAATGCTCATTTAGGAAGGGGCAATGTTGGCAAATAACACCAGATGGAAGAAGTTTTAAGGCTAAATAGAAGAAAAAAAGTACCAGGATATTGAAAATATCTTATTTACCTGCATACATCCATTATTCTCATTCGAGTCCAGCAAGGGTATCCAGGCTGCTGGTTGCAGGACGTCATAGGATGAATTGTCAAGATAGGAAATGTCTACAGGTGAAAAAAAGACAAAAACAAAACACAGTGACAACATAGGTATAACAGTTAGTTTGCTTATAATTTTGTGTGGAATTTGAAAATCATGACATTTATTGTGATATTGAGTGCCAAGAAAAGAACAATGTCACTTTACCTTGATGCCAAGGAACAGTTGTTGCCTCATTTCTTGGAGTCTTTGTACGCAAATTCCAGACTGGATGACCCATAATATCTGGACCAATCAGTTGTTCTATAGCATTTAGCAAGCGCTCATTGGAATACAAGTCTCGAAAAGCCTGAAAAAAAATGTGCATCAATTTGCACACAATTTACTTGCGATACAGGTGCAATAGTGTTACGAATATTCGTGGGATTCGGTTGGAATCGCACGAATATTGTCCAGAAATTCACTACAATTTTTTGGAATCGGGAGTTTGTGGCCAAAACTTTGAACAGCTCAAAATTTTTGCCACGAATTCACGATTGATCAAGAATTGCAATAACTGACTACGATTATACACAAATCTGCTAAGAACTTCACGAACTGATTACCATTCAACCTCGAATCCTGAAATTTCAATTCGTGGTCTGTGTGAAATAGGGGCATCAAAGTTTTTGCCACCAATTCCTGTTGGTCAAGAAGTGCAAGAACTGACTACAAATAGATACGAATCTGTTAAGAACTTCACGAACTGATTACGATTCAACCACGAATCGTGAAATTTGTCAATTCATGGCCATTCATGGATTTCGTGGTCTGTGTGAAATAGGGGCTTAAGCGAGAAAATCTGTTTACCCCACCTCTCCCTAGAGATGCACCTTGATTCAAGACTTACTGAATCAAGGGGGGGGGGGAGAAATAAAGCAATTAAAAGTAACAGTTAATTCATCAAAGGGCTACCTGGATGAGTGAGATCATCTGTTTATCTCTCCTTTACCTGGAGATATATATTCTTTGATCAGATTTTTAATAAAATGTTCTGTACTTCTATCTCGAAAATTTCATGTACTTGTACTCCAAGAAAATAAATTGTTTAATAAAATTAATATTATGTATCCTTGATTTGCATCGTCACACTAAGAAATATTCAGAAAATGGATGAAAAGAACTTTGAACTTTGTATTCTTTACTTTATATTTGTATATAAATATATATATTCTTCGGGGGGAAATTGTCCTGATACCATATACCTGTGGCATTTTGCCAGATTTTATGAAGACAATGTTGGCTCCTGGAAATTCCTTTTCTATGGCAGTCAGTCTTTTAAATAATCCCAATTCCTTGTACAACTCTACAAAAAATAATTACAATAAAAATAAATATTCAGAGAAGTTGCATTATAAAGTTAAAATAATTTTACTATAAGAGTAAGAAATAACTTCACTTTGCAAAAATGAAATTTTAATGAAAAATATTGAAAGACATCAATTTTCAGTTGGATTTTACAATGAGAGTGGTGGCCCATACTTTTGATTTTTCCTCCATTGTACAGTTTGTTGGCACATTCATCAACCAGTCCGTTGACTGCTTCTTTACAAGCTTCAAGTTCTCCATTCTGGAAGTAGTTTTCAACTAAAACATACCCCTGCAAAAAAATAGAAGTGTTCAGGGGTCATCGTCATATTTACCTCTGCCAGAGAGGTTTATTATATGGTATAGAGCAAACATTTTATCTGCCTTTCTTTTATAAACAGCAAAATTGTTTTAGCAGGTATTACAACAAAATTTTATTTAAAGATATAAGTATACAGCACTCAAACATGAGGGTTAGGACCTGGCCATGGTATTGCCAGTATTTGCAAACAATACTCATTAAACACACACCCCGTATGCAGCAGCCTGGTTAATTGTATCCTCCCCAGGAAGGTGAGATAGATACAGGAATGAATAAAGATACAGGTGTAAATTGTAAAACCTGCCGATGGTGTTTATATCCAGAATATCAGGATTCAACTCTACCCTTCCCTCTGCTTTGTTAATTATTATCCAAAATGTTTCACAAAATTAATACAGTACAGACGTAAATAATTTTTGTTGAATATCTAATTCAGCAAAATACCCACATACCTCGTCAAAGAATTGATGGACCTGCTGTGAAGTGAGCTGCCCAGGTTTCTTTTCTTTAGGCTGTGGTGGGGGGATGGTGAATACTTCAGGGTGAGGGGTAACACCTTTTAATCCCAGGGGTACTTCGGACGTATCATTGTTACTCTCCATAGTTGAAACTCAAAAAGTGCTAAACTATAAATAAACGGTATGTGTAAAGTAATTTTCCAGTGATTTTGGCCTCTAAAATTTAGGGCATGTGCTTTAATTCTTACCATATAAATCAAAACATTTTGATCATTTTTTCTTTATTAGGGCACGTAAGTCATTTCAACACATATAGATGCTTAATTTGTATGCGTTATATTTTCATGAAAAATCATGTATGTTATTTCTGTTACATGAAGACAAGGAAATGAAGAAATAGTGAAAAAAGAGATACAGTCAAAAGTTTATGTCCTAGAGCACTCTAATGACTCATATTTGTAATTTATGAAAAGAGAACTTTTGTCAAAACACACACAAGTTGCACAAATGGTGTTTCCTGCCAAAACAAATAAAGTAAGTTGCATATATAATGAAAAACATAATAAATGCATTTTACATTGGGATACATTCATGTGGTCAGTTAAATCAGTTGCTCTAGCTATCATGCAATGCATCTCTATATTTCAAAGAAACTCTTTTAATTGCAAGTCAATTTCCCCTTTCAGGATATCTTTTAAAGTCCTTTAAATTAAAAGTCTTTAGATATTGTTAAATGCAATAAAACAATTTAACATAATTTTTCTCCGCCCTGTAAACAATAATACAGTATATCAGTATTTAAAACATATACATACCAACTACAAAGGTAGTCAGGTAGTGCGCTTAAATGTCTTCGACTTGGACCTCGAAGTTGAACCATGAAGTTTTGATTACGTCGCTGGGGCTTGTTGCATAATAAAGATTACCTTTGTAAATATTTGCAAAATCCACTTTGGCAGTGGGACTTCACCTTTTGGCTGACAGACTTAAACTGACTGAATTCTAACGGACGATTACAGCATATCAGATAAGACGACCTGGGCCCCTTATCTCGAAAGCTTCGCTATGTTGCGCACGTGCGCAAGCGTCTCGATTCCATTACTCGCCCATACTCGTCCCATATAATACACTGTAGCCTCTTTTTGATATAGCGATTCGCAATACGCGATGCTTTCGAGATACGGGCCCTGGTGTATCTCTAAAGGTTCGCTATGTTGAGCACGTGCGCAAACGTCTCGATTCTATGGACCCGTATCTCGAAATAGAATCGGTTATGGAATCGAGACACTTGCGCAATATAGCGAACCTTTCGAGATACGGAGCCCTGGAGGATCAAACAGAGCAGAGAATTTATACTCAAAGATTGTTTTCTTCACTCGGAGCATTAAATTATTTATTATTAAATATTCCCTAACAAGGTCTCCTCAAGAGTGCGAGTTAAGTTAATTTTGAATTAATTACAATTGTAATAATTATCGTAGTTTTCAATAAATTTAATATGTGAGCAAAAACATCATTTTGTCTTGCTTACATTATTTCTTTCAATGACAATGAAAAACCCTATATCAAATGCAAATTAACTGATCCAATGTAGTCAGATAACCCTTTGTATAATATGAATGTGATGAACAAACAATCCTTATTTATGACCCAACGATGGTGGTTGCATTTTTGTTAGAAAGAGAAAAGCGGATTTGTGACTTTAAAATTTTAAACAAATAGCAGATAGTAGATCCATGTTGTTGACACATCAGTTTATTTTTGACTGTGGGAATAGCATTTTTTTTCTCCTGAAGCACCAATGGAAAAATTGATGATCATAAAGAAGCATTTCTACAAATATTGATTTTTTTAAATATTCATGTGTATATCAAAATTAAGTAAAACATTTGGAGATAAAGTTTGTCATAAAAAGTATGCACAGCAAAATACAAAATAAAAATCTTTCATTAAAACACTGATTGACTGTTGATTAAATAATGTATTTTTTATTCACATTAAATTATTACTAACATTGTTATTTAGAAAGGACTTCTGGTTTAGACTCCCAGGCATCAACAGATAAATTTTAACAACAATCATATCAAGGCCACTGACAATTTTATGCAAACCCTGTGAACACCTAATGAAAAAAAAGGCTGTTAAATAAATCATATTAACCAAGTCAAATTGCAATTCTAATTTCTATAGAACTTATAAGACTGTGAAGATCAGGTTGGTTCAGGCATACTCCAGACACGACACCAGACAGATGGATGCTTAGTAAAACTAAACTGATATGGGCTAAGAAAAGAAACTTGAGAGAAAAGGAGAGTGAGAGAAATGATGCTTTAAATTTATATTCATATCTATTGCTAATCATAATTTTGACTGGTTACAGTACCGTTCTATGATAATTCATTATAATATTTTCTATTCAAGACAAACTGTCCGATGTGGATGAACTGAACTTTTATGCAGTAGCTAAGGCTATACAGTCAGTAAGGTCTAAACTTCCTGGATGCCCGCATCAATGATATTTTTTGCTTGTCTTCTTCAAATTTCTGTCTAAGTTTGGCAATTTCTACAAGAAATAAAAGGGTAAAAATGATAAAAAGATAAATATTTGCATTTGTCAAAATTCAAAAAGATTGCACTCATAATTAGTGGTTAACAGTAACAGTTTAAATGATGAAAATGAAGAAGTTGTATTTACAGAGCCTATGCTTTTGCACTTTATGAAGTGAGTATCTATCCATGTATCAACAAATTTCACTTAAATATTAACTTACGTTCCATTTTTGATTCCCTCACTTGGAATGCATAGAAATTCAATAATTCCTGGAAATTATAAATATAGTAATTGATATCATACTCAAAATTTTCTTCTACAATATTACAATATATCGAACTTTACAATATCCTAGTCTTTGCTAGAAATAAGCATCTCTTCAAGAAATTTTGTGAACATATATAAATAATATCCTGCAACTGAAAGACTATCTATCTTCCTGCAACTGAAAGACTATCTATCTAAGATGAAAAACCAATCACATTACCCTTAAACTTTTCTACAAATTAAACTAAAAACTCAAAAAGCATAAAATGTCAAAAGATTACACTAGGTCATCAATATTAATAATACCTTTTCCTTTCTCTTCTTCTTCTCTCTCTGAGTTACTCTCTTTTCTTGTGCTTCTGTTCTGGGAACTCCTTTGTTTTTACTGTGCCTTGTCACCGTCACCCAACCCTCATCATCAGGGACACCTTCTTCCTCCTTGGCCTGAGCTGCTTCCTAAAATAAAATTTTTATTTTCTTTAATAAGAAGACTTGATATTGACTTTTCAATTTTTAATTTGACCCAGAAAATAATGAACTATGTCGATGAAGAAGTTTGGTTTGTTCTTTAGTGGACTTTGGTTTGTTTGTTAGTTTGTTTGTTTGTAGACAAGAGATCTTAAAAAATGTTTACCATTTTTGTTGAATTATCAAGATAACAGTTATTTAGGAGAGAAAGAATAAATCATGATTTCAGGTGATGCCAGATCTTATACAATCATTTTCAGGCCTACCCAACTACCAGACTCAGCACCGAATGATCCCAAATTCACCAGTAGATCGGACCACACTACCCGTTTTCAAGGTGTGAGTCAGTACGCATTTCACAGTATCATACCCCGAACAAATTTTGAGTGGTGATGCAATGCTTTTCAACCCTGCTGAGAATCGTCACTATCACATCGCGTACTAGGCAAGAGCGGTGTCGCGTCTGATACTGTGAAATGCGTACTGATACCTTGAAAACGGGTAGTGTGGTCCAATCTACCGGTGAATTCAGGATCATTCGGTGCCAAGTCTGGTAGTTGGGTAGGCCTGATTTTTAATTTAATTATCATTTACATTTCATCTTGACGGAGGTTTCAGAGTGTTTTCATAGTTTTAAATCAAATTAATATTCAAAGAAATGCAAATTTTGTTGTCAACAATCTTTGAAAACATTCTCTTTTCAAAAAATAATTCACAAGTTACTAGAAAAAAAACGATGGTCAGTTGTGATCACCTCTTGAATCTTCTTGTCAAACTCTTCCATGTATGCATCTATTTCTTTCTGAAGTGCATGTACATTTGGTAAGCTGGCTTTATATTCCTGGCACCATTCTGAATGACAATTATAATACACTTTAAAGTGAAAAACCCAAATGCAAAAATGGAACATATATATATTATATTATTATACCAGTATATAGAATTCACATCACAAATTCCTTTGAGTTGATATGTTAGGTGGTGACACTTTACAAAAAAGTCAAAGTTAACTTTTGCTCAAAGTGCCATTACTAGGGGCAAAGCAAAATCAAACAGGCAAAAATGAATGAATAAAACTGATTTTCCTCTGTAAAAAAAATCAAAGAGCATGCATGGATACACATGTGAGTTAAAAACCTACTTTTCATCCCTGTCAGAACTGGACTTTCATCTGTAGACAGAATCCTAGGGGGATCAAATTTGAACTGTTTTGCCTTTTTTACAGCTGCAGGTGTATGGAACACAATGTATGCTACCCTAAAACCCTGAAAAAATACACATTTATCAAGAAATATCACAATATTATCTTCTTATTTCTTCCTTTTTTGTCAAACCCTGCTTTTAATGAATCATTATGAAATATTAATTTAATCTGTCTTATATTCATTGTTTTCAAAACTTACCTCTATATCTTTAGCACTTTTAAAGAATCTGTTTTTGACTTCTGGTGCTGATGAAGAAGGTTTCTGTTGAATATGTATATTCTCAATTTTTCCACAGTCAGAGAACAATCTCTTCAAACACTCCTAGGCAATGAGAAAAATACAACTAGTCACAAATACTGCAAAGACAATCATCTTAGATAGCCTCAAACAAGGCTTGAAGAAGTGCATGATGACCTACAAGACTAGAAAATTGGCTAGAATCGGTTTAGGTTTAGGTTTACTTTTCAGTGATAAGAGTGAAATTCCATGAGCTAGGAATGATGTCTAAGAAATCAATAAAAAGTTGTTTTTTTTTTTTCATTTTTGTTTTAAAGTAGACTTAAAAGTTGCATTTATATTACCTCATTACAATATGGTGGCAAATTCAATATAAAAAGTGTCCTGTCTTTGGGCTTTGCTGCATCCGTTTCCCTCACGCTGTGCTCCTTCAAGTATACGTGATGGCAGGACTTGCACTGCTTGTTTAGCTTCAGAGGAATCACTTAAATAAAAAAAAATTGAAAGACTAAATTAACAACTAGTTTACCAGACAAAGAATACATTATTGTCCTTATCTTCAAGAAACCATTAAAGAGGCACTGTCTCAAGTACCGGTAAGAGAAATGACCAATGGAATATGGTTAAGAAATTATTTCAGGAACTGTTATAAGGCCAAAAAAGAGGTAATCATCTGATCAACTGATTCAACATAAAATGTTGCACAATTGGATTTATCATAGACCTGTGTAGACTGCACAGTCTCCTCTAAAATTCTATAACAATCTAGTATCACTAAATCTGGCACAAAAAGTAAAATAAAAGCTAGATTGCAGTGCACAATTTTGTGCCTAATTAAATACTACAATTGCAACACAGATGATCACACTCTAGCTCTTTTACGCACATTGTTTTAATATTAACATGTACTACTATGGTTCTAGTGCTACAGTGAATACATAGGGAAACAGAAATGCCATTTGGCATTACAGCTGCAAAAAGTGAAACGGAATTGTGTCCAAAAAATATATATATATATACATTGCCAAAATAGGTACGTATCAGATGTGTATTCTACTGATAACTGGCAAAATTAATAAAATCAAACTTCATTCAAAATTATTTTCAAAAGAAACAACATAATTCTTTTTTTGAAAACACACGAGATATAATAAGTATCTGTAACGCCACATTTGCAATGTCAAAGTTTAAGTATCAGTATAATATAAGATAAGGTGTATATCAGGTTTGGATAGGGAACTATTCGTCAATCAATTAACCCGTGGGGCCATTCATATATTACAGTTTACCTGTGAAACCATTTATCACCACCCGGTCTTCCATCGTCTCGACTCGCGTGTTGCTTTTAACATTTAAAGTGCGCATGCGCAGAGAAAAAACAACTTCCTTTTCCGATGGTCAATCGGTTTTGACATATAATTCGAGATGTTTTCCTTATATTGCCTTTCTAAGGCATAGATTATCCTGGTAAGTTTACTGTAGGTAGTTCATACTTACCTATTACTGTCTGAATTATGTAGTGTGAAGCATATTGTCTTCTGTAGACGCGATATTAACGGTGCTAAGTTGTCTAATTCGCCTACTGTATTTGACGCAGCGTTGCGTTTTCAACCGTTTTGTCCAGCTTCTTTATTTTTCTAAAAGAAACACGATTTTGCTATCCAAATGTTTTGCAGTGGCGGAAGCTGCTCGAAGTGAAATCAATTTGGATAATTCATGGCTCATGTATAACACTGATGTATGATTTGGTTTCTGAGACAAGAAATATCAGATGAACGTTATCAGTATCAAGTTTCTTAAATACAGTATGCTCATGTGACATTGACTCATATATTCTAGTATGGTGGTTTTGGCATAAAATAAGTAGATTTTCTGTTGCCATCAGCTTGGATTGAAAAAAAAATGACCCCTTTTCACTGTTGCATTTGTAAATGGTGCTGTTTTCCTAGCATCGTACAGTACAGGCACTGGAGAATAAGTAAAATCTTGTTTATGGTTTCTGATCTCATATATACTGTTTCTGCTAACACATCAAAGCAAATGGTTCAAAAAGTGTAATATGACGACCAGCTACTGTGATGAGTAGCTTTCAAATCTGGATTTACCTCTCATCTCCTCAACTCACACTTTTAATGCCAAACAATTTTCCTGTTGCCAAGCTGTGAATAGTGTTCATCTGCTTGTCTGTCAGAAATTGCATGATTTAATCTGTCTAAATTATTATGCACTTGAAGTTTTAATTTGCTTGATTATTTTCTTAACTACTGCATTTATAAGCAACGGTGTCCTTCTCACTGGAAGATCAATCAGCAGCTTCAGGCCTTTAGCCAGGGGGGATTCGGGGGGTTCGAAAGAACCGCCTTTTTTGCTGGGAAAAGGTCCACTCTGGGTAAAATTTGATCTATGTGCTTAAGGAAGGTAAAAGGTCCACTTTTTCAGAAAACGAACCCCCCTCTGAAATTGCTGGCTACGGACCTGAGCTTCCCAAATACAATTGAATCATGTCAAGAGACACTTATAGTTTTGTCAAGGTCTGCTTTGAAGCTTTTCTATAGTTTGGATTGAAATTTGGCACATAAATTCCTTATATGATATTGCAAAATTTGACAGCTTTAGCCACCATAGTTTGTGTGCAGTGTATGTTCAAATTTGAATATAGGCCCATTTCGTTTATTTCATGAAGGAGAGTTTACTGCATCTTGTGTATATGATGAATTATAAAATTCCTTTCAGTTGTCTGTCTGAATAAATTAGTTCAGGAGTTCTTTGGAATGTATCTTTTTCTGTTTCAGCACTATGAAATGGACAGATCACACTGACAGTGAATAATTCTGGTCACTGACTGCAATGAAATGATGCCATCCACTTCTTTTTATATCTAACACAGAGCACATTGTATGACACTCCTATCACACTGTCACATCTAACGCAATGACAAACACAAGACATTGTCTCATCTGATGCAATGCTTAAGAATGAGACATACTAGACACTGACACAACGAGCACAGTGAACAACTTGATACCAATGACTCAGCAAAATTCATTTAGCATCCAGAGGGAGGTGCAGATGAGGTTTCTTAGTCCCAGTGATATCGATGATATAAAGAAGCTTTGTGCAGATTGGTTTCCTATTGAGTGAGTATGAGAATTCTTGCATGTCTTATTAGTTGGTCAGATGATCTGGTTTAATCAAGTGTACATTTGATATTTTTCTCCTTTTCACAAATGTTCTTATGTTTTGAATAATACAAAGAAAAGGAAATGTGTGGGCAGTTATATGTGCACTTAAAGTGTATTTTTCTCGCATATCATTTCAGCTATCCAGAGAACTGGTTCAAGGACATCACCTCCAACACCAAGTTCTTCTCTCTGGCAGCAACTTTCAATGGGCAGATTATTGGAATGATTGTAGCTGACATAAAACCTAGGAGCACATGCAATAAGGAGGTGGGTTAAATAGCATTCCCTTAGTGACAATTCCAGGGATTTTATGTAGTCATGTGGAAACAAAAATTCATGTATTCTCACTTTTTCTGCCGAAGAAAATTAGGGAAACCTATTCCTTTTTTTTTTTTAGGACAGTGATCTCCTTGCTTCCCACTATCCTGCCAATATACAGGTGGCTTATATTCTCAGCTTAGGAGTAGTGAGAGACTTCAGGAATCATGGAATAGGTAAGTGTATAGTTGAATGGCTTTATCTCTTACCTTAGGTATTAATCTAAATACTACGAAAAAAATTAAATTTCTGTAAGTGAAATAAAATTAAAATTTAATAAATATCCAAAATTTTGGTCATCACAGTTTTTCGNAAACTTTACAATATCTTAGTCTTTGCCAGAAATAAGCATCTCTTCAAGAAATTTTGTGAACATATTTAAATAATATCCTGCAACTGAAAGACTATCTATCTAAGATGAAAAACCAATCACATTACCCTTAAAACTTTTCTACAAATTAAACTAAAAACTCAAAAAGCATAAAATGGCAAAAGATTACACTAGGTCATCAATATTAATTATACCTTTTCCTTTCTCTTCTTCTTCTCTCTCTGAGTTACTCTCTTTTCTTGTGCTTCTGTTCTGGGAACTCCTTTGTTTTTACTGTGCCTTGTCACCGTCACCCAACCCTCATCATCAGGGACACCTTCTTCCTCCTTGGCCTGAGCTGCTTCCTAAAATAAAATTTTTATTTTCTTTAATAAGAAGACTTAATATTGACTTTTCAATTTGTTTTAATTTGACCCAGAAAATAATAAACTATGTCGATGAAGAAGTTTGGTTTGTTCTTTAGTGGACTTTGGTTTGTTTGTTTGTAGACAAGAGATCTTAAAAAATGTTTACCATTTTAGTTGAATTATCAAGATAACAGTTATTTAGGAGAGAAAGAATAAATCATGATTTCAGGTGATGCCAGATCTTATACAATCATTTTCAGGCCTACCCAACTACCAGACTCGGCACCGAATGATCCCAAATTCACCAGTAGATCGGACCACACTACCCGTTTTCAAGGTGTGAGTCAGTACGCATTTCACAGTATCATACCCGAACAAATTTTGAGTGGTGATGCAATGCTTTTCAACCCTGCTGAGAATCGTCACTATCACATCGCGTAATAGGCAAGAGCGGTGTCGCGTCTGATACTGTGAAATGCGTGCTGATACCTTGAAAACGGGTAGTGTGGTCCAATCTACCGGTGAATTCAGGATCATTCGGTGCCGAGTCTGGTAGTTGGGTAGGCCTGATTTTAATTTAATTATCATTTACATTTCGTCTTGACGGAGATTTCAGAGTGTTTTCATAGTTTTAAATCAAATTAATATTCAAAGAAATGCAAATTTTGTTGTCAACAATCTTTGAAAACATTCACTTTTCAAAAAATAATTCACAAGTTACTAGAAAAAAAATGATGGTCAGTTGTGATCACCTCTTGAATCTTCTTGTCAAACTCTTCCATGTATGCATCTATTTCTTTCTGAAGTGCATTTACATTCGGTAAGCTGGTTTTATATTCCTGGCACCATTCTGAATGACAATTATAATACACTTTAAAGTGAAAAACCCAAATGCAAAAATGGAACATATATATATAATATTATTATACTAGTATATAGAATTCACATCACAAATTCCTTTGAGTTGATATGTTAGGTGGTGACACTTTACAAAAAAGTCAAAGTTAACTTTTGCTCAAAGTGCCATTACTAGGGGCAAAGCAAAATCAAACAGGCAAAAATGAATGAATAAAACTGATTTTCCTCTGTAAAAAAATCAAAGTGCATGCATGGATACACATGTGAGTTAAAAACCTACTTTTCATCCCTGTCAGAACTGGACTTTCATCTGTAGACAGAATCCTAGGTGGATCAAATTTGATCTGTTTTGCCTTTTTTACAGCTGCAGGTGTATGGAACACAATGTATGCTACCCTAAAACCCTGAAAAAATACACATTTATCAAGAAATATCACAATATTATCTTCTTATTTCTTCCTTTTTTGTCAAACCCTGCTTTTAATGAATCATTATGAAATATTAAGTTAATCTGTCTTATATTCATTGTTTTCAAAACTTACCTCTATATCTTTGGCACTTTTAAAGAATCTGTTTTTGACTTCTGGTGCTGATGAAGAAGGTTTCTGTTGAATATGTATATTCTCAATTTTTCCACAGTCAGAGAACAATCTCTTCAAACACTCCTAGGCAATGAGAAAAATACAACTAGTCACAAATACTGCAAAGACAATCATCTTAGATAGCCTCAAACAAGGCTTGAAGAAGTGCATGATGACCTACAAGACTAGAAAATTGGCTAGAATCGGTTAAGGTTTAGGTTTACTTTTCAGTGATAAGGGTGAAATTCCATGAGCTACTAATGATGTCTAAGAAATCAATAAAAAATTGTTTTTTTTTTACATTTTTGTTTTAAAGTAGACTTAAAAGTTTCATTTATATTACCTCATTACAATATGGTGGCAAATTCAATATAAAAAGTGTCCTGTCTTTGGGCTTTGCTGCATCCGTTTCCCTCACGCTGTGCTCCTTCAAGTATACGTGATGGCAGGACTTGCACTGCTTGTTTAGCTTCAGAGGAATCACTTAAATAAAAAATTGAAAGACTAAATTAACTACTAGTTTATCAGACAATGAATACATTATTGTCCTTATCTTCAAGAAACCATTAAAGAGGCATTGCCTCAAGTAAGAGAAATGAGCAATGGAATATGGTTTAGAAATCATTTCAAGGACTGTTATAAGTCCAAAAAGAGGTAATAATCTGATCAACAGATTCAACATAAAATGTTGCACAATTGGATTTATCATAGACCTGTGTAGACTACAAAGTCTCCTCTAAAATTCAATAACAATCTAGTATCACTAAATCTGGCACAAAAAGTAAAATAAAATTAAGCTAGATTGCAGTGCACAATTTTGTGCCTAATTAAATACTACAATTGCAACACAGATGATCACACTCTAGCTATTTTACGTGCATTGTTTTAATATTAACATGTACATGTACTACTATGGTTCTAGTGCAACAGTGAATACATTTAAGGAAACAGATCTAGAAATGCCATTTGGCATTACAGCTGCAAAAAGTGAAACGGATTTATGTCCAAAAAATATATATACATTGCCAAAATAGGTACATATCAGATGTGTATTCTACTGATAACTGGCAAAATAAATAAAATCAAACTTCATTCAAAATTATTTTCAAAAGAAACAACAAAATTCTTTTTTTCATAACAACGGGATACAGTAACGCCACATTTGCAACGTCAAAGATTAAGTATCAGTATAATATAAGATAAGGTGTATATCAGGTTTGAATAGGGAACTATTAGTCAATCAATTAACCCGTGAGTCCATTCATATGTTACAGTTTACCTGTGAAACCATGTATCACCACCCGGTCTTCCATCGTCTCAACTCGCGTGTTTCTTTTAACATTTAAAGTGCGCATGCGCAGAGAAAAAAAACTTCCTTTTCCGATGGTCAATCGGTTTTGACATATATTCGAGATGTTTTCCTTATATTGCCTTTCTAAGGCATAGATTATCCTGGTAAGTTTACTGTAGGTAGTTCATACTTACCTATTACTTTCTGAATTATGTAGTGTAAAGCGTATTATCTTCTGTAGACGCGATATTAACGGTGCTAAGTTGTCTAATTCGCCTACTGTATTTGACGCAGCGTTGAGTTTTCAACCGTTTTGTTCAGCTTTTTTTTCTAGAAGAAACACGATTTTGCTATCCAAATGTTTTGCAGTGGCGGAAGCTGCTCGAAGTGAAATCAATTTGGATAATTCATGGCTCATGTATAACACTGATGTATGGTTTGGTTTCTGAGACAAGAAATATATATCATATGAACGTTATCAGTATCAAGTTTCTTAAATACAGTATGCTCATGTGACATTAACTCATATATTCTAATATGGTGGTTTTGACATAAAATAAGTAGATTTTCTGTTGCCATCAGCTTGGATTGAAAAAAAAATGACCCCTTTTCACTGTTGCATTTGTAAATGGTGCTGTTTTTCCTAGCATCGTACATGTACAGTACAGACACTGGAGAATAAGTAAAATCAGAAGTTGTTTATGGTTTCTGATCTCATATATACTGTTTCTGCTAACACATTAAAGCAAATGATTCAAAAAGTGTAATATGACGACCAGCTACTGTGATGAGTAGCTTTCAAATCTGGATTTACCTCTCATCTCCTCAACTCACACTTTTAATGCCAAACAGTTTTCCTGTTGCCAAGCTGTGAATAGTGTTCATCTGCTTGTCTGTCAGAAATTGCATGGTTTAATCTGTCAAAATTATTATGCACTTGAAGTTTTAATTTGCTTGATTATTTTCTTAACTACTGCATTTATAAGCAACGGTGTCCTTCTCACTGGAAGATAAACCAGCAGCTTCAGGCCCTTGGCCAGGGGGGGGGGGGGGGTTCGGGGGGTTCAAGAGAACCGCCCTTTTCGCTGGGAAAAGGTCCACTCTGGGTAAAATTTGATCTATGTTCTTAAGGATTTTATGGTCAAAGGTGCACTTTTTCAGAAAACAACCCCCCCCCCTCTGAAATTGCTGGCTACGGACCTGAGCTTCCCAAATACAATTGAATCATGTCAATAACACTTTTAGTTTTGTCAAGGTCTACTTTGAAGCTTTTCTATTCTTAAATGTATGCAATAGTTTGGATTGAAATTTGGCACATAAATTCCTTATATGATATTGCAAAATTTGACAGCTTTAGCCACCATAGTTTGTGTGCAGTGTATGTTCAAATTTGAATATAGGCCCATTTCGTTTATTTCATGAAGGAGAGTTTACTGCATCTTGTGTATATGATGAATTATAAAATTCCTTTCAGTTGTCAGTCTGAATAAATTAGGTCAGGAGTTCTTTGGAATGTATCTTTTTCTGTTTCAGCACTATGAAATGGACAGATCACACTGACAGTGAATAATTCTGGTCACTGACTGCAATGAAATGATGCCATCCACTTCTTTTTACATCTAACACGGAGCACATTGTATGATACTCCTATCACACTGTCACATCTAACGCAATGACAAACACAAGACATTGTCTCATCTGATGCAATGCTTAAGAATGAGACATACTAGACACTGACACAACGAGCACAGTGAACAACTTGATACCAATGACTCAGCAAAATTCATTTAGCATCCAGAGGGAGGTGCAGATGAGGTTTCTTAGTCCCAGTGATATCAATGATATAAAGAAGCTTTGTGCAGATTGGTTTCCCATTGAGTGAGTATGAGAATTCTTGCATATCTTATTAGTTGGTCAGATGATTTGGTTTAATCAAATGTACATTTGATATTTTTCTACTTTTCACAAATGTTCTAATGTTTTGAATAATACAAAGAAAAGGAAATGTGTGGGCCGTTATATGTGCACTTACAGTGTATTTTTCTCGTGTATCATTTCAGCTATCCAGAGAACTGGTTCAAGGACATCACCTCCAACACCAAGTTCTTCTCTCTGGCAGCAACTTTCAATGGGCAGATTATTGGAATGATTGTAGCTGACATAAAACCTAGGAGCACATGCAATAAGGAGGTGGGTTAAATAGCATTCCCTTAGTGACAATTCCAGGGATTTTATGTAGTCATGTGGAAACAAAAATTCACTTTTGCTCGTTTTGTATGCCGAAGAAAATTAGGGAAACTTATTCCTTTTTTTTTTTTTAGGACAGTGATCTCCTTGCTTCCCACTATCCTGCCAATATACAGGTGGCTTATATTCTCAGCTTAGGAGTGGTGAGAGACTTCAGGAATCATGGAATAGGTAAGTGTATAGTTGAATGGCTTTATCTCTAACCTTAGATATTAATCTAAATACTACGAAAAAAAATTAAATTTCTGTAAGTGAAATAAAATTAAAATTTAATAAATATCCAAAATTTTGGTCATCACAGTTTTTCTCTTCGATATAAAATCTGTTCATAGATATATGATAATTATGATCAAAGGATATCTATAAATTCTCATCTTCATTCCAGCCTCCCTACTTCTGGAAACACTACTCCAACACTTAACAACGAGTGAGCGCCAAAATTGTAAAGCTGTCTATCTTCATGTACTCACAGCTAATGCCACAGCTATCAGGTTCTATGAGAGGCGCAACTTTAAGCTCCACAGTTTTTTACCATATTATTATTCCATAAAGGGGTCCCCCAGTGATGGGTATACATATGTTCTGTATATCAATGGTGGAGAACCTCCCTGGACTGCCTTATATCCTTTTAGTGGAGGTGAAAATAATGAATGTGGCTTATATCTATATAAGCTGATATGGTTTTGTGTGTTTGTAATGTGGTCGTCAGTGTGATGTTGTGGTGCTTTTGTTGCTAAAGTATTAGTTTTTAACCACTTCAGTATCTGGGCATGGGAGTGACAGTGTGGTAGGTGTGACTGCAATTGTGCAGGGTATGAGAGCATTTCATTTATGAGGTGTTACATTTATTATATTGCAAACATTGTGATATTGCAAACATTAAGTTATCAGGATTTTTTATTTACATATCTTTTCTCTCAACATTAAAAATAGCATCTACAAAGATGCTTTAAATGAGATGATAGGATGACTAAATTTACAATAGGAAATATATTTACCTTAACATCTTTTCACTGACTATTTGCGCAATGTTGGCCATTTCTGCAGTAGCCTGGTCCAAGTCCAAGTTTGTGCAATTCCACAACGCCTCTTTCATCATCTGAGGAGCTGGGTGAAGAAAGTAGTTCTAGGCTCCCCGGATTCTGACATCAGGCAGTTTACACATCACAGCTGACAAACTTCCGCAGTGGAGATCATTTGAAATCTTGGCTGTTTGTTGTGGCTTTGTGCATTTACAATGTATCATATGACCATCAAGATAAAAAAAAAGCCAAAAGAATAAGGAATTGATTCCCAAGCATCACCAATAGAATCTTTTTAAGTTGATAATTTGGTTGAAGAGTGCCATATGTTTTCAGTTCAGTACGCGAATCCATTTTAACAAACACCAGGGCCTGTACTTAATGATGGTGACAGTCATCTGACATACAGTGTCATACAGTACGTATACGCACAATGAAATATAAGAACCTACAATGCTGTACTAAATGGTGCTCCTGTCACATATCAGGATGTCCAAATGGCCACAAGCTAGGGGTGTGTCTTTACACAAATCTATGTGGAGCTCATTGTAACATTCTTGTTAAGAATTGAGATTCTTTTCTGATCATGTTCAGGAGACTTGTACTCATTATGTGGTATATCAGCACATCTCTTGACAAAATTGAATTGAATGTACATGTTGTGGTAACTGCACAATTCTTAAAGCTTGGGATTTTTATTTGTTACATTATACCTCCCGAGTTGAGCTACACAAACATATATTTACTTCGGTCAAATTTCTACAGTGATAAAAGAGTTGATAACAATCAGTTAGTTTTCATATCTGTAGCCAAAGAGACTTATCTTGAATATTTGAGTCAAAAATTATGTTTAAGCTCTTATCATGTATGGTAAAGAATGCCATAGAGGGCAAAAATGTGGGGAAGGAGTTGAGAATATCATTACTAGCATATACTGTTGTTTACCTATTGCTTTCCTTACATACAGAACACATACAGGTAATGATTTGCAATTCGATTTAGACATGTACAACTCAGGATTTCCATAATATTGCTACTCTACAGGGTAAAAAAGAAGCTACAAATTCTATAGCCCGAGAGAATATTGTACATACTGTAATGAGAGAAAGACGGTTGAACATATTTATGTTATTGTAGTTGGACTGAAGTCTTAATTATTCTAAATATTAATTTGTGCTTCCACATCTTAATAACTGAATTGTCTTTTGACAGCTGTGATATGTATTATATTGTTAGAGATGTGGGTGTTTTACATGTTGTATGTAAAGTGTTGAACAGTTGCATATATAGCAATGTTTGTATGTAAATGTACAAGATAATTTTGTATACAGAATGTGTAATTATACGAGTGATAAACGGGATTCTTGCAGATATGTCTTTACATCATTGAATACATATCCATGAATTGCTAGTCATTCTTTATTTAGAATCCAGTTCTGAGACTTGATTTCATATTCTCAATTTTTTTGACCAATAAAATGTTTAACTGACATCTACTTAAAATTTCAGATCACAACTTACATTTACTTCTTAAATGAATACAAATTTGAATGAACAACGAAGAAAATAGCATTCACTTTAAGAGTTCAGTTAGGAGTCTGTTTAAGGAAAAAAGGCATTTGGGTCCATAAGTTTTAAAGTAAAATCTCTAACAGTTGGTAATAAAAGGGCTATGTAAGGTCCTTGGTAACCCAGTAAGTGTCACATAGGCTCCTGGTACCATGGAAGTGTTATACAATGCCTGTGGTGTCTATGTCCCTACTAATATATGTAAAAACGCCTAGGTTGAGATATCACAGGTGGATTTCTTAATGCTGACAAAGGCCCCTGCACTGTATGCTGAGGACTCGCTAGTTCTTCCACCCAATATAACAACAAACATCCCATTGTTTGGCATCTTTTGATGGATCTTGCTTATTCTTCTGTCTATGTCTTGCAAACTTTCCTGAAAATATTTTCAAAACAAAATAAAGGATATAAATAAATGTTATATATCCATAATAACCTTTCAAATTCATTTTGTACTAAATTTAATGTGGTTATTTAACTATTACACTTTTCTAAGGAATGTTTGTGGAAAGAAAAAGATGTAACGTTGTACCTTTGTTTTGCCAGTATCCTTTTCAGAAGGATCAAAGCCATTGAATTCCACAAAAGTAAAACTACTATCTACCACTTTCTTCTTTGCAATTTTGGTTGCTCGTTTATCACTAGAGCAGGGGTAGAATTCCATCTTGTGGTTACCTAGTTTGTCATCTGACCTGCTGATACAAACACCTGGAATAATCAGACATCTCGTTAACAAACAATACAAACTGGCAGGTACTTGAAACTAAAAACATCTTTTGATTAATGATATTATGCTGCCTTGATACATAAACTACCGATACCTAAATATGGCGGACCTACATGAAAGGAAGGCTGCGTAATCCTGTAATGGTCTCTTAATGACATTCATTGAGAGACTATTAAAGGATTATGCGGTTTCCTTTCATGTAGGTCCGCCATATTTAGGTCTCGGCCTTGCCAGACCTCGGCTCTTCTCGATGTGAATGCTCTCAAAGACATTTGTGCCAGTCTATCTTGCCAACTGAACTGAAACTCTGTTTGAGAAATTTAAAGATTTGCTTGGCAAATCTTAAATGAACAATATTCACTCAAATCTACTTAAGAATATTGTATCATCAGTATTGTAAGGCTGTGCCATTGTGATCCTTGAGCCGTTTGTAGTCCTGTTGAGACTGTGATTCATTATGATAAGCTTTCCTTCTTTGGCAGTCACACTGGTGACCAAGAATCCACCTGGCAGCCACAGCGAAAAATGTATTGCTGTAACTTAAAAATCACTGTGGAGAAAATCTCAAATAGACAACAGTACATTATAGCCAAATAACAACTCACACTTACTTGTTTTACAAAAGTCTGTGAGAATTCCAACCAAACTTTGATAGGCTTGGGAAGTACCTCTGAAAAAGACTTTTTTCTTGTCAGTCATTCCCAATGAAGTCACACATTTACCCTCACTTGGCGTTTTGGAGTCTGTTGACTGTAAACAAGAATTGCTAGTCTCCTTTAGAGTTGCACTATTATTTTTGTCAGTCATATTGCTATCCTTTGCTTTCAAGTTTGAAAATCCTGCTGATTGGTTAACAGAACTAAGATCAGTTGAGACCAATGGTTTAACTTCCATTCTAGTTTCTGTGGTACTAGCTTGAGCATCGCTTGACTGTGAATTGTTTATCGAGTCCAGGGAATCTGATGGTGTGTTGACAGAATTTTCACTTATTTGAACTGGTTTAGCAGCTTCAGCTACCTGAGCAATAACAGGAGGTTTGTCTTCTAACTTGGGATAAATAACACCTCCCATAATAACATCACCATAAGATATGTCTGAAAGTAAAATATTTAACAGTTAGCATATTGTGGTTGAGTTCATACAACAGAAAATCTAAATGGTAATGAACATTACTTTTTTTCCATTGAGACCCTCAAAAAGATGACATCAACTCACTGTTTTTCAGTTTTAATAGCACCAGGTCAAGGGCAGCAATGGCATCTTCTGCAGAGTCATGGCCTGCACTGCTGTCTTGAATTGTTCGCCTGAAACATCAAAGAAATATTTACTTCTCTGGATATATATAACAACATCCTATTAACATTTAACCTAAAAAGGACAGACAAAAACAGAAAGATTGAGTTTTAGTTTACCCCAAGAACTGAGCTGCCAGTCTTTTTAATCCAGTTTTCATCTTTCTGTGTCCACTCAAGTTATATATGACACTAGTGTCAATACAGTAAGGGTGGAATAACTCCAGGGCGTGTAGATCCCCATTCAAGGACTGGCCACAGAGAATAGCATCTGATGGAAACAGGTTCTGTAGGTCTCTCTGTACATCCTGTAAGGTGGTGGTGACTGGGGCTAACATTTGCTCTGTAATGCCACTGTACCTAGAGATAGAAACAATCATTGTGTTAGGTGAGAATGTAATTGCACGAAGTTGGTGAAATGTATTAGGTAAAAACTACAAGCAAAATCTGTTAAGTAAGATGCCCTGAATGTGGTTATTACTGCGGACAGTATTTTTTCAGAGATGTCACTGTCAATCAGGGAGACAACAGTGCTGTATTATGTGGTGGCATTATATATTGAAATAAATTCTTATTATAAACAATTTTCATTTTTTCCATCCAAACATTTTGTGTAACTGTTGTAATTGTTACTTGCAAAATGAAGCAGACTGCAGACATTATTTGTCCAGAATTTCAGCAAGTACCTTAACAACATTCCTGGATTGAACAAATGAAAACCTTGTACTGTGCAAATGATATCACAATATACAAAAAGTATTTATTAAGCGTTGAACAAGGAAGTGCCAGACCAAGCCTGTACTTGCTCTGCACGTACACGTGCTAATCACTCAAGTGAGAATTATAACCAACAATTACTAAAGTTTTAACTATACATGAGAACAGACTTAAAATTACTGAAGGTACATAACGCTCAAAGAATATACTTAGTACAAAAACACCAAAAATAATGCAACCATGCTCAAAGAATATACTTAGTACAAAAACACCAAGAATATTGAAACCAGTTTCTTACTTTGTAAGATAGTTAATGATTTTATGCCTTGGCTTGACCAGTTGGTCATATATGACTTCAGCCTTTTCGTTGACCACTGAAACTCTGGTCAGCTCCAGTCGCTTGGCAGATTTAGTTAAGCACTAAAATGAAATCAAATACATTATAACTATGGTGGGCGGGTAGGTGGGTTTAAGTTTAACCAGTCTTGCATGATACCATTTTAATACAGCTAACATGAGTACCAGTTAATTTCAGACTCTGTACCAACATCTGATACAAAAAATATTTATCCAAAGCTACAAATGTTAAGAAAAGGGGAATGATGATGATATATGAATGTAGAGAAGACAGACTGGCAGACTTTATTCTTATTGACCTATTTACTCACACCCCTTTCTTTATAGAGAGGGACATTGCAATTATAATCAAACTGACAGACTATACCAAGCTTACATTCAACAAATCACACTAACCATTTCACAATCCACAGCAAACAGAGGACTGGAGTTTGTGACTTTACCATAGGAATCCTTGCTGAACACATAATTTGCACATCTCTCTGAAAAACAGTTTGGTATACTGTATCCATGAAGCAGTAACTAGACTAACAAATTTATCCAAATGTTGAAAATGTTTATTTTTTTCTTCTTAACAAAACTATTTTGCTAATTTATCAATGTTTTGAGTAAAATAATCTTTATTTAATAAAACAAGAAAATGGTAGAGAGGCCCCCCAGTAGAGCAGTAGCAATGACAATTTTTTAAAAATTAAAATGGACAAACGTAGACTAACACTAACACAGAGGCACTTTAACAATCATAACTAAAGATATTTTACCCAGCAACTCACCGTATATAAAAGTAACTGCACCTCATGTATCAGTATTAAAATAACAATTAACCCCATCTTGAATAGAGGGATATAATATGGAAGCATAACTCACCTCCGTCTCCATCTACAGGGAGAGGGTAGTCCTCTTGTATCAGTTGTTCTGGTCTTAACATCAATGTGGTCCTACAACAACAGTCTGAAGGTCTCTTGTCTTGACCTTGCTGCTCCCCGTCCTCTGACGTGGCTGTCTTCTTCTTCTTGTTTAACTTCTCACCTCCATTTTCTGCTGTTTTGAGATATTAATATGGGAGATAAATTGGTATTCAACAACAACAACAACAACAACAACAACAACAACAACAACAACACACACACACACACACACACACACACACACACACACACACACACACACACACACACACACACACACACACACACACACTATTTATATTATATATAATGTTTTTCATATTCTATGGATTACATTAAAAAATATTATTTATGAAGTGATCATCTTCAGTTGATAATAGTTCACTGTAGAAAAACAAAGAAATCAATTTGCTTTAATTTACAACTTTTGGGAAATTACTCACCTTTGATGCCCAATTTCTTCATATAAGAGCTACTTAGTGGCACCTGGAAGAGATCTTCCTCAACACTACTGCCATACTGGTATGGGGAGACAAGTCCTACCTCCTTGAAATTAAAAACAGCGTGTTAATTGTGACCAGGTAATAGGACTGGCTGTCTGTTTTCAAATCAAACTCAGTCATAATGTCTTAACTAAATTGTTTTTTTAATGGCCTGAAAGTGTGTTAGGAGCAACCACAATATGCACACACACACACACACACACATGCATGTGCATTGTTTTTTAAAATAAATCTTACAAAGTGTTATGTATTTTTTTCAGTCTTGGCATACAACATGGCAGACTGCCTGGAATCAATGTGATTGTAGAGACCTAGCATGGACAACACATCCAGTGTTAATTTAAATAAAATCCTGCCACAACCTTTTACAAAATGTTGAGTGACAAGGGTCATTTTTATTAATTTTCCTTTTCTTTCCATCCACAATGACACATAACAATGAACTAGTTTGTCTAGCACAAATCTTATACATATATTAGCAAATAAAGAATGAATGTGTAAGGTGAGACACTCTGAAGCACATTCACCACAATTAACATACCACATCAAATGATCCTAAATGTTGAAAGCAGTCCTTGTGCTGTGTGTATTCTTCGAAAGACAATCCTTGCACTGTGACCACAGCTATATGGCTGACCTTCTGCCACCGAAGCAGCTTACACCACCTATTGAATTAAAAATATATGTAACAATTAATATAGAAGATAAAATGAATGCCTTTTGATTTCTAATTTTATTAACAATTGTAATATTCATGATAATCCATTCCTAAAAACTGCACTAAATTTCATATGTGCACATGTTTTGTACATGTTAACAGTCCACAAAGCACTCTCACTTTGATGCATCTGTTCCATGTGACAAATAATTACAGCAAAATGTGATTGTATTTAGTGTGCCAGTTCCCTACCTTGGTTTATAACTGGCCGTGTTTCCCTGAATGGCATACAGAAGCAAATGCTGCACGTCAAGCATAAACAGATGAGGTTGATAAGATGGCATTTCTAGTTCTTCCTTTCCTGAAATCTGTGGTGGAATGGTGGGAAAGTGCTGTGGTGTGGGGACATAAGGCTGGATATCGTCCAATGTTAAGAAGATTTTTGGTCTTTGCTGTATTAATGATAAAAAATAGCATGATAATTACATTTAAAAATACTCCCAGAAAATGTAAATTGTACCATATAACTTTTCCCTAAAAAAATCAAGGGCCTAAAATATACTTTCATGAAAAGTGCTTTCTCTTAACTAGTTAAAACATGCCTTGCTCTTTGTAATGATTTATATGAAGATGTGCATATCACATTTAAGTAGTTGGTAGAAGAGAAATAAATGTAAGTTAAAAATCTGTAGGTCAAACTGATGAAACATGTCAATAAAAACCATAATCAAAGTATACATTAATAAGAAAAATACATGTAAATGATTTACCATAGCTTCTTTTTGCCTAGCTCTGATTTCTGCCCTAATCCTAGCATATTCATCTTCTGAAATATTCAGTTTCTTGGTAGGTGGTTCTCCATCTTGCATCTGCTTGTTGACAGTTGATCTACGCTGTTTTTCTTTGGGCAAAAGATCAGCATCTTCTACACTGGAATGGTTGACTGACCCTTGTCTATCTGTTAGACTTTCAGAATCAGATGATGAAGAATCTAATGTGACTTGTTCCTGTAATTATTAAGTAGAAATAGGAAATCACAAACATACACATATAAAGTAAATTAAAATTAAAAAGATCAAAAGTATTATATCATACAGCATGAACATGCTCCACAAGAAATCATGCAATCAAATTATCAAAACAGGCTTGTCTAAACTCTACGGACGGATATTTAACAACATTCTTTTGAATACCCCTTTTTTTTTTTTTTTTTTTTTGTAGACTACTATGGCACAACTAAGGTTGTTTGATATGGTTTTTGAGTTTGTGCACCCGATTTTTAAATCATATAGCAATTTTACGACGATCATTTTCTAACCAGTAAGGTGACAGCTGAGCGTGGTTGCAATTATAGTCCTTTTGTTTCGGCTCATTCTCCAGTTAGATAACGGTTTAGTCTTTTTATTCCCATTATGCAGTGGTGCTGACATGAGTTGTCTATAATAAAATATGAAACTTGGGTGCAACAGAGACGCAATTAACCCAGACTGTGGATATTTAAATCCTCGAGAAATTGTAACACAGTGTTTCATGGGGCCTTGTCTGTGGTAATTACCTAGTATGATAACTTACAAATAGCTAGTGTAAGGCTGAAAACTGAGACAGCAGCCGAGCGTGCGGTTACAAAAATCGTACCTGTTGTACCATCTTGCGCTTGTTGCCTTTTAAACCATCCTCTTCATTAGCCTTAACCAGGTCCAGAAATGCCTTTGCTTTTCTTTTCTTTGATTCGTATCGCCTACTCCGTTTAGACATATTTGGAAGACGCTACTTGAACCTTTTCCGTGTTAACAAACTAGCACACATGTGGACTATTCTTCTGTGAAAAGAGGTAGAATAAATAACGGGAAACAGAGAACAGTTGGATCGCATTGAAATAAGAAAAAAACATTAGCTAATGTGTTTTAGAAAGTGAACATACAGATCATTAAAATCATTTTAAATTATTCAGCATAAAACTGGTATAGTGTATCAACTGAATTATCCTAACGAAGAACTATTTTTTTCCACGCGTGGTTTGTGTACAAAAAATAAATCTTTGTTTTAGATGTGGGCGGTGGGAAATTTGGAATATTATGATCCATTTGCCTAAGAACAGTGGCGTTATTTTTATGAAATGATGAGCACAAAGGCTTTAGCAAGGTAAGAATTTTGAGACTCATATCTAAAAACTCAACTAAAACCTAGCCAAAAACTGCATTGTGAATGCATAAATTACAGATCTACTCGTGAAAATTATATACAGTATAAATTTCCAACTAAAAATCTTGGAAAGTTTTCACTTTTTCGTTGATGTTTTTTTCATCTCGAGTTTGTTCATTCTGGTCATGGAATGATTTTGCCCGTACTTATGCATTTTCTCCAAACGTATAGCACTTGTAAGTTAATAATTTTCGATATTCTACTCACTGTAGAAACACTTTTTCTGTTGAAAAAGTATTGTAAATAGGCATTATTACTCACAGAATTTACAGTATGTTTATTTACAAATGGGGTATGTGATAAAAATGGTTGATATGTTATCACTGTACATGCAAAATTACTAAAAGACATTTAACATTTTCATATCTTTTAGAGAACTTGGTCTTTTGAGAAAAAGATCATACTCACAGATTTCTGAAGAGAGAAAAATACATAAAAATAGCAGTAAGTATTTTTTACAGCCATTGGAGTTGTAGAAGAAAGTTTTTTTGTGGACAGAATAAGAATCACCAAAATGGGTAGCATTTTGATAAGAAAAGTATATGGACTTTTTGGCAATAAGCAGGGAGGCTGATGGAGTAAAAAATCAATCTTTGCAATTAAGAGATTGATAGAACGAATCAAAAGACTGGATTACTGTTAGTTCACCTCAAGAAGGAAATAATGATAAGGATCAGAAAACACTAACAAATGGCAAACTGAGCATAATAGATTTAAATACTAGTAACAAAAAAGACAGATATTGTTACTTTTCTTTTGTAATTTTTTTTCAGAGCAACAGTTTTCACATTTGATTGTAATTGATTTTGAATCAACTTGCTGGGAAAAAAAGACTGGCAGGCCACAAGAAATCAGTAAGCTTTGTTTCTTATTTGACCTATATTCTTTCGTATTGGGAACATTTAGCAAAAGAACCATTCATTCGTATCTTGTAAGCCACCTAGCCAGGAATACTAAAAGTTTGTGTATTATAGGGACTTGTAGGACTTGATAATTTGCTACCTAGTAATACATTAGCCTTTAAATTTTTAGCTATTGCTTAATAAGTATATTTTAATTACCCTCTATATTTTGATACTATATTATATGTCTTATGCACTGTTGATTTTTGTCACAGTTGAGTTCCCAGCTGTACTGATGAACACAAATAATGGAGAAGTAGAGTCTGAATTTCACCACTATGTGCAGCCCAGTGAAAACCCAATGCTGAGTGAGTTCTGTAAAAAGCTAACTGGGATCAGCCAGGTATGGAGACTTGGTATATCACATTTTATAATGGCTGTTATTGTTTGTGACTCACTCTAGGAAAGTAAATTTCATTTTAAATATTTGTTTTTTTTTTTTTTTTATTTATTTATTTTTTTTTGCCAAATTTATCAGCGATTTGGTGGAACATTTTGATTGGGCGAAACTTATCCAGCACTTGGTGAAAAAGAACTTTTAACAAAGAGTGTACCCACTGTGTGATGTCATTATCACAAGTAGAACTTCAGGTGTTTTACATTACTTCTTGCTGAAAGTAGATAAATCTGAAGAGTAAAATGGTTGGGCAATATACAGAATAACCTTATCATATGATTATGTTCTTGTTACTTGAATGTTTTGAGAATTTTTGGGAAACTTGAATGTTGTAAGTAAGTCTAATTATTTCACTAAACACCTTTCAGGAACAAGTGGAAGAGGGAATACCATTATCACTGTGCTTGAGCAAGTTTAACACTTGGATCAAAAATATTAGCCAGGAAAGGAAATTAGTCTTTGAACAATCTGTCAGTGAAGGCCAGAACTTGTGTACAATTGTTACTTGGTCAGGTAATCTGTAAAATCTGTAATCTGTAAAATGCTTCAGATATTGTATGATTACTAGTAGCCATGTCTGTTTAAAACATTTAATTTATTTTTTGAAATGTGAGTTACATTACATTAAAGCAGCAATTTAATTACTAGTATATACTTTTTAAATCTGAGACATTTAGTCACACACGCATTCACGCACACATGAACACACACGCACACACACACACACACACACACAAAAAAAAACTTGTTAATTTAATCAAATTGCGATAGAAAACAGACAAGATGGGATGACTGGTCCCTGCCAAAACATTGAACATTTTTCCTTCCATATTTCAGATTGGGACCTTGGTGTGTGCCTGCTATATGAATGCAGAAGAAAACAAATAAGAAAGCCAGCAGCTCTCAATTCTTGGATTGATCTCCGGGCAACTTATAGGGTAAATATTGTTTCTAGGCAACACACATTCTGATTATTGTCTCCAAGCAACATAAACAATAATTATTGGCTCCAGGCAATACACATGGCTTATATTGTCCCTTGGCAATACACAGGGTTAATATCATTGCTTGGTAATATACAATGTAAATATTGTCTCTGGGCTACACAGTGTAAAAAGTGTCATTTTCACATGAAACATACTGATCTGCTCAATACTGTGCCTGCCCAGTCTCAGTGAGTTGGTTAATAGTTAAACTTCACTGTGAAATGCACTTTTTGACTGTGTAAAGAAAATATTTTTTACATTCTCATGTTATCTAATAATGTTGTGCTTAATTAATAACTAAATAATAAATGTCTTGAGCAAGTGATGAAATCTTAATTCCAGAAATTCTACGATCGTCGCCCTCAAGGCCTCAATGGTGCACTCCAAGATGTCGGAATTGAGTTTGAGGGGAGAGAACATTCTGGTACAATAGCTTTGTATTTTACTTTTGCTATTATTTCTAACCTTTTAAAAGAAAGAATTGGATAATTTTTTTGGAAAGAATATCGTATGAAAGTCATTCTCATCACAATCTACACAAAGTCTTACATTCAATTTGGTATTCAGACAACTTGCTGAACTTAACATCAAATTTACTGTCAAATTGGAACTTTAAACAATAATACAACATTTTCTCAACTAATATGTACATAGATGGGACAGTGTGATTGTCACATTTAAAACACTAATTCATAGCACAATGGTATTCATCAGCGAATCATTGCAGTACATTCATAAATTTGCTTATATTTAATATAGGTCTGGATGATGCCCGTAACACAGCCAAGCTGGCTTGGAGAATGATACGTGATGGTTGTGTGTTGAATGTCACAAAGAGTTTTAATGGGGTAAGGAGGCCCTTTAATTCTTACAGCTGACAACTGGTCACTGTTGTAGACAGTGTTTGGAGTTAAAGTGCAGGTTTGCCCAAGCCTTGACTGGACTGGCCTGGCCTGAAGTTAATGATGGTGACATGGGACAACTGAGTTGCTTCTTTGGCTAGTAATGGAGATTTCTTATCCAGCTCATGGGGCTTAAACTGGCACTTTTACAAGAGCTTAAAATGTCTCCGTGTAATGACTGCCAAAGCATGTCATTACTGCCCTTCAGTGCCACAATTTTATCAGACAATTCATAGTGAAATCAAGGCCTATGTCAAACACATATGTCAAACATTTTTTACAAGTCGGCCTCGTGAGTGCTTAATATATTCTGTACCCACATTCAAGTGATAAAACTGAATAATTACATTGATGAAGATTGGATTAAATTTTGATTTTCTGTATGTTTTCCATTATTAATGAGAGCAACAAGATTGTCATTAACATTCTGCTGACTAATGTAAATCATTTATACGGAAATTTGTTTCATTTATTTTATGTTATGTATTTGTGATTTTTTTATCAAAGAATATCAATGTTTTAATATATATATATGATGTTTAACTTATGTATTTTGTTTGTGTATTTATATTTCAAAGAATAAAATATTTTTAATGAAGTCAAAAACATTTAGTCTTTCTTTTGAGCTCACTTTCTACATTAACATTGCAGAGTGCCCAAGAAAGAAGTGAAACTATGGCAAAGATAATGAAAATCGCAACTGAGTCATCAAATGCTAAGAAGGGGCATGAACCAAATGGAGCTTGTCGTGTGGCTGGGAGCAGTGCTGAACGTTTACCAGTACAGCAGGAGTGTGGACAAGGGACTCCACACTCCTCTATTCCTGCTGCACCACAGTTGTCAGTAACCTCCAGCAACACTGCACCCCACTCCTTGCACAACAGAGTGAGAAAGATCTTTTCAACTGACAAGACAACAAAGAGTGAGAGGACACTGCAAATAAAAGGACCACAGAAAAGTGAATCTAGTGGGAATGTCAGTACTGTTGAGAGTGGTCTTGTGAATGTATCAAAACAATTTGAAACAGAAACAGTTAAAACATCATCTGTGAATGTGCTAAAGATTGAGTCGGTTTCCAAAGAACTAAAAACTATTGCATCACCAGTTTTTAATGAGCAAGCAAAGAAATTTACACAAACTGGACCAAGCACAATTAGCACAGTCAACGGTCATAGAAACATAAAAGCTCCCTATTACAATCAAAGTATTTCCAAACTTGGTGACTTCAAGAAACCATTCTCTAGCATGTCTTCTAAACTTCAGGGTAATAGACCATACACACCCAGTGATAGAGGGAGTAAAATGTCCTATCACACCAAGTGCAATGTGACAGTCGGTGTCACACCTGAGGCAATGGTGAAACCTTCCAACAGTGCATATAAAACAAGTCAAAATGGCCTTGGACCATTCAGTTCAACTGGTAAAACTGTAGGAAAATGTTTACTCTCCTGGTCCTCCCATATGAAGGCCACCCCTCCCTTGTGTGATTGTGGGAGGCGAAGCAAGAGAAGGGTTGTTCAGAATCCTGGCCCCAATGAAGGAAGAGCCTTCTTTGCATGCCCTCTTGGAAGAAAAAGTTCTGGTGCAGTGAAAGAAGGCTGTAAATTTTTTAAATGGGACAGTAGGAGTTGATGACATTACATATGATGATGTGCAAACTATATATGAATTGTTCTCTGTATTTTCAAACTGAATTGGATTCATTATTGCTGCAATATAAATCCAATTTGATACCGATCTCAGCATTTATAATTGAAAAGCTTGGGAGAAATATGTGTTAAAAGTTTATTACAAAAAGTATTGATTTACATGGAGCAGATCTTTTGAAGTAATTGTATATTCAGATGAAATATTTACAGGTATTTTTTAAATGGTTAGAATTCTAAAATGATGGCTGTATTTCATTTGAAAATAAAAAATATTTCACAAATATTTTGTACATAATATAACCCACTTCAAGCTGAACTAAACCAGATTGAGGTCTGTCAGCTTACCTATGGGGTCTTCTTACTTGATCTCAAACAATCGACAACAATTTATGCACTGGTTTAAAATTATTTAAAAAATAAAACTGTCCTTCAGGCTATTAAAATGTACTTTGGGCTGGTAGAATCCACATAGTTACAGTATATAATGACAGTGTGTCCCCACATTCATAATATGTCACAGTCTGTTGATTTTGTATAATTTAATCCATGGACTTAGTTTGGTTCCTCGATTATAGGTCCCTTCACCTTGGGTTTGTTAGGGTTGTTTTGAAGCAGCCAATCTGCAAGCCACACCTGGAACAATAACAAAACAGGAATAGTCTATCTGTTGCTGCTGTTGCATGTTATGTGACACCTTTAAATAAGATTGCTACACATACTAACAGTAAATTCACACTCACATATTTATTCCATAAATCCATTCAGTGAATGCATCCAATAAAATGAAGCTTGGGTCATGAATGATTATTGAAAAATTCATCAAACTAAGAAAGCATTCAGTTTTGATGTCTTCAAACAAAATGCTGGTTGCAAAAAGAAAATTGTTTGAAATAAGCACATTTCAGTAATTAAGGCAGCTTTTTGTGCATAGTTAGATAAAAGATATAAAAAAATATTGGGATACCAGAAGTCATTTTATCTAATTTGCTACTAGTTATCATGCTAAAACTTACCACTGGATCACTTGGTTTTTCCTTACAAAGTTGTGTAAGTCCTCTCAATAGAGTAGGGTTGACTGTGCGTGCCAGGTAGTCTTTGGCTGCCTGACCCACTGCTACAGGCTCTACAATACCTGAAATATCATTCAAAAATACATGCTATACTTCAGAATATGTTGATTTGCAATCATGCATGTTTATAAAATTTAATAATAAACAAATAATGGGCAAATATAAAAAGATAAATATAGAATGAATTACAATCTCAGTTATATCATAAGCTTATTTTAATGAAATAATTATAAAATTTCCATGATAATTAATATGTTTGTTACTTTTATAGACTCTTTGTTTAAGGAACTGGGGGTGTGGGTGGGAGGATATCAAGAACACTGGAAAAAATGTGCACTTACTGTCTGAGAAAAAGAACCTGATCTCTCTTGCTGCATTGGAAAAGCTATCACTGCCATGGAGGGCATTTCTCTGGTCATCTGTTCCATAAATTGCCCTTAAACTAGATGGGAAAAAATACAGGGATGAAACAAAAATAAATGAAATTGATAAAGATATATATAATTACAGAACTGAGAAATAATGTTTTAGTTGACTTGAAGAAATGAAATGGAAAAAGTATTTACAAACGTTATAAGTCAGTTACAAATAAATTATAATTAGGACACTATTTTGTTTATATTTAACACTTCAGCATATTTATTCTGGTTTTGATTCACTAAAATTTACCCATTAGTATTTGAAATGATTCATGCAATATGCTTACCTATCTGGATGTGTTTCTCGAGCTTTTAAAGTGTTAGTTGGGCCAACTAATTCTCTCCAATAGGAAATTGCATTATCCCTTGATAAAACCAGCACAATTATTGGACCACTGCTCATGTAAGCTACTAGACTTGGAAAGAAGAGCTTCCCATAGTGCTCAGCATAGAAGTCACTGGCTTGCTCAGGGGTGAGGTGCACCCTTCTTTTCTGCAATATGAGTACAATGTCATAAACTTACTTTAATTTGTAACAGTTTTATTTGTTTAACAGTTTATAAGGTGGATCAGAAGTTTTTTTTTTATTTTACTGTACTGCTAAAGATCAGATAATTAAAGTTTTTGGTAGTCATTTTCAGATGTAATACATGTTCATGTTGCATGTTAACTATAAGGTTATTTTGCTAATGTGTACAATATTTGCTTCATGTAAACATTCACATGGTAAAATATTTGCTTAGAACTATGCAGACAATTTCACCAGTGTGGGGATATAAGGAGGGAGAAGAAAATAAAAAATATATCCATAATGTTTTTCACATTCCTTTTCTTTTTTCATTTACAGGTGATTTTTAGGAAGAGACTTGAGAAACTTTGAAATGAAATTGATATATTCTGAATGAAGGAGTTTTAAACCCCAACTTAAATGTATAGGCAGTGAAGGAAGGTAAATGTGTTTCCATAATGGATTTAAAAGAAATATCTTATTTACTTAGGCCCTAATTATATTTCTGTACATTTATGAAATACAATGACCAAATACAATATTTGCTGGTATTTTTGGCAACATTCACTTACTTAACAAGATTTCATATACAACAACACGGTTATTTTTATATAAAGAACACTTCAGTGTCTCATTTTGAACCTTTGCTTCATTCAGTACATATAAGAATTACTTAATTAATATGGCCTCTCACTGGCAGTGAGAGTGTGAACTTACCTGTAAAATACAAAACCCAGACCTCAGTATAATGTCTTCAATTTCATCACATTTATGGATAGCGTCTGGCTTAATAATGGCAAGAGTCTTTTCTACATATATTTGAGGTACCTCCATACCCATTCTGTGTGCCTTCCTACTCAGTATATAGACAAATCTTTACATAAAATCTCCCGGCTGAATGTCTCCTGTTGGTTGCTATGTCCGAGTGTTTATTTCCGGTTGCGCATGCTCAATTATTAAAATCCGATTTCTAACGGAAACCCCCGAATTAAATTCAACTGATAAACAACAATTATTTATCTCACATATTGGTAATTACTCGTCAAAAATACAATTTTCATATCATTGGTCTAAGCATTAGGACGTATTCCCATCTTTTTATAAAAAAATCTCATTTCTTATGTCGTATCGATGAGTGCACATTTCCCATTCTCTGTTAGTAAACTTTGAATTCTGTGAGCTTTTGCAACCAAAGTGAATTGTATTTTTAGATCAAATTAGCATTATGGAGAAGTTGCAATTTTGTCCTTGGAAATATATTTGACTTAATATTAATCCTGTGATGTGGATGCAATACAGCTGTTAAAATGGACTCGGTAAGAATGTTATTATTGGCTTTACACTCATTCTGATCGACCCATTCTGTTGCCTCAGTATTTTTACCATTCTCAGCATATCTTTAGCAGACAATCGAATCGATAGCAATTATATATTAATTATATATTAATTGCAAAGTATCAGTGTACGTTGTCTTCATTGTATAGTATCATTAAATTCTCTCCAGTACATATTAGGCACTATTTGCATGCTCTCTGGTTTCAATATTGGTTGGATATCTGTCAGTTAATCAGTCTTTTGCTTTATTCAAGGGGTGGAAACCTGGTCAGGGAAGAAGGAGAGGTAAGTTTTAAAATTCTGAATGAAAATGATGATAGTATATTCAGAAAACTTCCTTGAAAAGCTATTTGAAAAAATTTAACGATTTAGCCCACAATCTGTAACAAAAGATGAATTTACAGTGTAATCATCATACAATACTTCATATGATATTGAGTAGACCTTGATTTCATGTTTTCTCTTGTTTATTTGTAGGGGGTGGAAAGGCAGCATCTCTAGATGATGAGCTAGGAGATTTACTGGGATCAGACACAGGTAAATATTTATTGTAGTTTATCAATATTGCGCAAGCTGAAGCTTTTAATTGTAAAAATTCTAAGGCATTGTGTAAACTGTCATTAAGTAAATGATATGGTTGCTTATTTCATTAGTTGAATTGTAGAAGAGTCTGTTTGAAAAAACATAGTTGATTTTATTAGTAGGTGTTTATGGAAATGATTTCATTAAAAACAGATTAAGATTCATGATATTGCTGTTTATTGCATTTATCATACTGAAATTTGTTTAATATCTTGATCAGATGAACCCAAAAAGAAGGCAGGGGGCATGAAAAGAAATGAAGCTGTTCCAAATTTCCAAGATAAAGCTTATGTAAGTCACTGTGTGTTACAACAATGAACTGACATCTACCTGGAATGCCTGAAACTACTGACAGTGATTTGTATGCACGACACATTACTGCATGAAATTTTTTTTAATCACACATTCCAGGCATACTATAATTTTTCTCATGGATATTTGAATCACTTAAATGTAGGTTATGTCAGGTAAACATAATGTGTTGACATTTATTCTTTAGAACGGTGAATGTTTAGGTGTAAAAAAAAAAAAAAAAGATTCTTGGTATGGTTTCTTAACCTTCTTTATTCTTTCAACTCAATGTATCATTCCATTTCTTACAGGCAAAGTCTCTAAAAGGCAAAGGTGGCAAAAGGTGAGTCCTCATGTTCAAAATATGTTTTCTCCTAATATTATTGAAATATCCAATTATCAATTTTTTTGTAACACTAATCAGTTGGGTTATTTCTTTTCATTCAAAATATCATCTAGACAATTTAAATGCTCCATATTTTGCACTTGTATTAATATGTGATTTTCTGTATATATGTAATAATATATGATATGGAATTAAATCAGTCAGAATTTATGAGTAATATTTTTATTTATCGTCATTATATTTATTTATATTCTGCTTTATCTGGCAGAGTGGTACTGCATCATTATATCATGTTAAAAACCTGCAACATATAAGCAACACATGAAATTTCAGGCATCAATTTCTTTATGGGGAGCCCAGTAATATTCATCTTTGTGGAACATTGTTTGTTATTACATTTTATTTCTGACACTAAAGTTAATTTACTAAGACTAATCTTGAGCAATAAATTCCCTTTGTTCTGTTACCAGTAGGGGCAGAGATGAAGATTTTTATGGCAATCTAGCTGCAGACATATCTGGCCCATCTGATGAGTCAGAAGTATCAGAGGCAAACCTTGATGAGTTGAACAAGACATTAGGGGTATGTGATGTCACACACTGCTCAGCTACACATTAAGAAGAAACTGAAAGAATACAGAGAAATATAGATAAGTAGATATTTGATAAAGAATTTCTATCATAATTTGCTTTAGGCAAACTTGTTTAAATGTTTACTTATTTACTATGATGTTACTTCTTTTAATTCAAATATTATTAGTAATATTCAGATATATAGTACGTCAATATTAGAATTAACAAAAATATCATGTTATTCAAGGATCTAGATGATATGGAATCAAGCTTATTTAGTTCACCTAAGAAAAAGAAATTACCAGCTAAAAGTCCAGTCAAGGCTGCTGCATCCAAGGCACCTAAAACCCCTTCCCCAAAAGCATCCCCAGCAACTCCTAGAAAGAAAACTACAGCCATGGAGGAGCACAAAAAAGGGAAAAGCCCTAGAGCTGGTGGCAAAGATTCTTTAGGTGAGACTTGAGTCACTGGGTTATCTATATTGTAAATTGTTGTACAAGATACTTAGACAATTTATCATTTAAGGGAAAGTAATATGCTGTTTCATGTAATAAAGTGGAATACTGGAGCAAAATAAGACTGTCATTCACAAGTCAATATGTAACATTTAGCTACTGTTTTGAGATTTCAGTTTTGTTAAATTAATTTTTAATTAACTGTGCTTTGGTTTAGATGATTTGCTGGCTGAAAAACCAGTAACTACAAAGGCAGCTGAAAGTACACCTACAAAAAGTAAAGCAAAGAAGATTGATTTTGGAGGTAAGTGTTAACAAATATAGGAAGACAGACCAAATTATGCATTTTATAGTACAGTATTATTGAAAGATTCTCATCTCCTTTATAATTAAATTTTCTGAAATTGAAAATAAACCTCATTAAAAAATGAGATATTTTCGGTGTTAATGTTTATTATACAGTGGTACAAAGGAGATTTTGTTTTCGCATTACTTACTCGCTACACCATTTGCTTATTATGCAGTGATACAAAGGAGACTTCTGAGAAGTTTGCACAAAGATGAATGTGACCTTTTGTTCAGTTTGTGTAATTTACATACTTTTCTGTGATAGATTTTGATGAAGATGATCCATTAGCTGGATTGCTGTCTGATGATGAAGATGAAGGAGGCAGGAAAAAGAGGCCAGCGAAGAAAAAACAGCAACAAAAACTTGCAGCTGAGAGTAAAACTGAAGAAGTGACAAAGACAGAGGGAAAAAATGAATCTTGGGATACTGACGAAGGAAGTTAGTTCTGCTTATGAATATTTTCTTTAAAAGTTGAAAGTAAAAAAAAAAGATCAATGAAAGTTGCAATCAAAAGTTCAATAATGATGAATGCAAGTTGTAAATTTGATATATTAATTTAAATGACATATTTCAGCTGAACCAGCAAGCAAACCAGCCCTGGTACGACCTCCTACTAGAAGTGGCAGCCGTCCAACATCTAGCGAACCAAAGCCAGATCCTTCAGTTGAAGAAGTGGCACCTAAACTTGGAGGTTTGTGATATCTGGTATTATCATGGTAATTGTGAACAAGATTTGTTAGAACTGTTTTTACAAATGCATACATATGCACACAGGCATGAACACACACACACACATGCACACTTTGAATTCACAAATAAATTTAATTCATTTTGTATACTCTTTGTGTATTAGTTACCCCAAGAAAAGGTTCAGCTAATGCCCAGAAGAAAAGGGATGAGATTAACTTTGATGATGATGATGACAGTGGTGATCTCTTAGGAGGACTAAGCAGTCCAAGAAAGCAAAAAGAAACTTCTAAAGAAGGTAAAGTGTTGTAATTATTAGAAAGAATCCCTAGAGTTACCAGAATTTTAAATAATATCACATTTTGAAGATGAATGTGTTTGTTTGTGTGTAAGCAAGCGTGTGATGTGTATATAAATATATATATATATATATATATATATATATANAATAAAGGGATATAGAAAAGTATATAGTAAATTTTAGCTACCCCCACAAAGAAAACCACCACAGCCAAAAAGAAGAAAGATGAGATAGACTTTGATGACGACGACCTTTTGGGAGGTCTAGACAGCCCAAGAAAACCCAAAGAAACAAAGGCTAAGGAAAAGACCTCAATCATGGACTCTCTACTAGGGAAGAGTTCTGTGGATGAGCACTTAAAGAGGCCAGACTCAGGACAGAGGACCTTCACATTTGACAAGACAAAGCTGCCTCCTAAGAAAGAAGGTTTGTTCTTCTGAATTTAGTGTCACACCAAACACTCTCAGCACATTGTCTCACCTAAAACACTTAGTACACTTTGTCTAACCTGCCATGGCTTCATAAAAACCTTGTATGCACATTTCCCCTCGATATCTGCTCTATTAGATGAAATACTTACATTTCAGTTTTCGCATTACTTAATCGCTACACCATTTCCACATGAGGACACAGAAGACATGACAAACTGTGCATTTACATACTGCTTTGTGTTTTGGGTTGAATTGGTAAACTAGCATTTGATTAGCTTGTTTAACAGCTGCTCATTTAACTTCAGAAAAACCAAAACAGAAAGATGAAGAGGATGAAGATTTTACATTTGGGGACTATATGCCAAGTGCTGCCAGCACAGGGAGGCCCTCTTCCACTTTGAGAAGATCTGTGAGGTATGATCACTCTTGAAAATATCATGTCTAATTTTGTCTTAACATTTAATTGATTGCTGAGCATTTTCATAATGTGTATACTTAGAAAATGTATTAGAAAGTGAAGCATGTTCTATAAATTCTGATTACATTAACTAACCATTGTTTAGAAGAGTATGATGTGAAATTGATTTTGAAATTCCCTTTTCACAGGTTCCAAGATGATGAAGACATGTTTGGTTTGTCCTCCAGTAAAGGAAGGTCAGGCATACCAGCAACTTTACAGCTGGATGAAGGAACTGATTGGTTGGATATGGCATCTGGGACTAAATCTGACCAATCAGGTGCCAAGAAAACTACTGACTCAAACAAACAGTCCAAAGCAAAACAAGAGAGTGGATCAGATTGGCTGGGACTTAGTGCATCAAAGTCAGATGATGAAAATGATTGGTTAGGGTTATCTACTGCAAAATCAAAAACAAACAAAGCTAAATTGGCAGATAAGCCTTTGGAAGAAAGAGAAAAAGTGTCGCAGAAAGAAAGAACAGTTTCTCCAGATGATTGGCTGGGCCTAGGCTCTTCTAAAACTAAACAACATGAGAAGAAAAGTGAACTGGGGCACACTGCACAATCAGCAGCTAGTGGAAGGGGCCAATCACCAACGAGGTCAGAATCAAAAGAGCAGTCTGATTGGCTGGGACTAGGAAGCCCCAAACATAACAGATCTTTCCAAGAAGAGGATCCATCTGATTGGTTAGGTGGTCCAAAGAAAACTCCAACTCAGCAGGATGGAAAGAAAGATGCTGCAGACGATTACTTGGGACTTGGAAAAGAAGTGTCAGCTCATGATTCCAGGTGAGGTTTTTATACATGAAATCAATGTTTTTATTGCATTCCTCTAATTTAGGTTTGGTTATTAGTCTCTAAATCCACATCTACTTAGTAGAGCAATATTTTTGTTGCATTTCTCTTAATTTAGCTTTGGTTATCCCTCTCTAACTCCACATCCATAAGGAAGAAAGAATGAGCTTAATGTTTTAAATTTCAAGTGTGAATATCTTTCTGTCTTAGGTTGGGATTATTTTGCATTACTTCATCTTTATTATTTTTTTCTTTTCGTTTTGTCACATGTTTGTGTTATACTGTAACACTTGTGTAGGGGGAGCCATTTGTCTAGTGCAGATGAGAGAGGGCTGGACTTGTTCTCTTCACCATCACCAAGAAGAACTAGGTAAGAGTTCTTAAGGGTGAAATAAAAAATATGTGAGTTTGGTTAGCAGTGATTATAGGGCTTGCACAAGTGTAAGCATGACTTCTTATCATATAGTTAGGTGTAATTGACTTAAAAAGGAATTGACATTGATCAACTTTAAAAAAAAAAAATATTATTGCATTGTTAAAACATTATTTTGAGAACTTGAACAAACAGCATGGTCACTTTCTACATGGAAGTTACCACGGTTTCTTGTTTTTCACAGTACTCTACCATGGGAAAGTGCAGCTAAAGCTGGAAGAAGAGCTGCACAAAATGTGCCATTGCAACAACAGTCACCTCGACAACAACCTCAACAACCAAAGCAAACAGGTAGATGTTGATATAGCAAGTCTTGCTTTATCTCTTAGAATAAAGTGTGAGATCAGCTGTCTTTGTGTCAATTGTATACACAGAACATAAATGTAAAGGTATTTTTTTCTCGAACAGAATCAAAGTAATTTTTGTGAGAATTTTGTGTGATGGGAATTGAAAGATAAAAAGAAATCAATGCTTTCTCTTTTTAGTCGCTGACAGTTCAACACCTGCACAACCCATTCAGGCTCAAACTTCCCTAGCTGCTCAAGTTCAAGACAGTATTATGACTCCCAAATTAGGAGAACCTCCTGTAGCAGAACTACCAGTAGATGTCTCTGTTCCCAAGACAGGTCTGGCCCTACAGATTGAACAGTTGCAGAAATTGCAGCAACAACAGCAACAAGAAGAGCAGCGACTACAGGAGGAAAAGTTAAAACAACAGCAGCAGTCCATGTTGCAGATGCAGTTACAACAGGTAAAAAAAATACAGCAACAACTTGGCAGTAAGTTATATCATTTGCCATTACTGTCACTGTATGTACACCACAATGGGTGCCAGTGGTCCGTGTTGGTAACATAAGAAATACTATGTGTTTACAGTAAAGAAATGTTTTTGTGGTTGAATTGTGGGTAAAAAGGTAAAGATTCAGATTCACTTTTCATTGCATAACACCTTTATTATTTTGTGGTTAAGAGTAGTAGGTATAATGTAACAGTTTCAGTGTTAGAGTTGTTTAAGAAGCAGTTTGTTTTTATCATAAATTTTAGGCAGAGATCCAAAAGCAGATACAACAACAACAGGAGCAGCAGCTTCTTGCTCAGCAGAAAGAGCTGATGGACCAACAGCTCAGAGAACATCAACTTAAGATGGAGAGAATGCAACAACAGCTGGCTACCTCTCAGCTAGTAAGGAAAGCCGTTTGTAGATTATTTATCAGTACAATCAGATTCACAATGCACTTAAATCGAATAAAATAGTGTAATTTTATTTCTAAGCTTATCCAATTTACATAATGGGGTATATTGCATTGCCATTTTACGTATCTAGTATTTACTGATGTCTTGGAAGACTGGTCATGTTACATGACTGATCACATGATGATGATGAATGAGAATCTCTACTTTTGTGGATCTCCACATTTCAACCAATGTTCAGTAATCAATACTTAAGCTTAAAGTAGAAATTTGAAAAAAGTTGAAGTCCATTAGGGTCTCCACTTTCTTTATTCATTTTTCTTTCCTTTTTACTCATGTCCTTGCTGACTAGGATACAACAAAATTATTGTTCATTGATAAACCATTATACTTACAGTTGTATATATTTATTAGTTACAGACACCTCCCAGTATAATGCATGTCCCGGGCTCTCCATACACTCCTAGTCCTACCCAGGCCATGATGGGTACTCTGCAGGATCCACAGTCCCTTGCCAAACAGAAGGCTGAACTTGAAACCACTGCGGCAGAATTAGAAACCAAGGTAAAATACTACTGCTTTCAGTTATAGTAGTACTTTTTACTCCTACAGCTGTTGCTACTACTGCTACCTATCTATACATACATTGACATTTTTTCACAAACCTGTAAAAGGATTTTGAAACTGAAAAGAAGTAAGTTTAGATATAATATCGACATTGATATATTTTGATTTTGATTTGTTGGCATATTTAATATATTTTATGAATTATTCCAGCTGAAAAAACTTGAACTGGAGAAAGAACATCTTCAGTCAACAATTGAGAGCACAAAGAACCTGCATCAGGAGGAGATGAAAACAATTGAATCAATCCACAAGTAAACACATAACGGTTACATCTTAGTCAGCATTCTGTCCATCTCATGTCTTGTACATAGTGATAACTAATACATGCTGAAACCTAAACTTGATTTACTTTCAGATAAGTATATTTTTCCCTCTCATTACAAAGAGTAAAATTGCTGTGCTATCAAAACTGAGCTTTTGTTTTTTCATAGAATTATAGGTGGTAATGTAATGATAAGAAAGGTCTCCATGAGGAGTGGTTTTCTTGGGATGTCAGAGTTGTTTGAAGCTATTCTTATGATTTGTTTATTTAATTTAACAGAGGCAGAGTTCAGATGATTGAAGAATCCTACCAAAGAAGGGAAGCAAGGTAAGGATTTGTTAGAAAAACTTAAATATTGGCAGTTATTGAAACTCAACTTGAGATTATCAGCTTACCAAATACCCCATTTAAACACTCTCATATCAGTGATACTAAACATTATTTCTCACTGTTTCTGATATTTTTATTGTTTTATATATATATATATATATATATATATATATATATATATATATATATATATATATATATATATATATATATATATATATATATATTTTTTTTTTTTTTTTTTTTTTTTTTGAAACTATCCTTCCATATATAATATCACATCACTGATATTAATTACTGTTATAGGCACCACATTTAAACACTGTCATATCAAAAATACTCGACATGGTCAGAGTTTCTCATATTTCAAGTCTGTTTTCTGTTCCAGGTTAAAAGAGGATGTGGACCTGGCTGCAGCCCAGAATGCTCTGAAGATAAAACAGATGGAGATGGAGAGGGCAGACCTCATGTCTTCTCAGCAGAGGAAGTTACAGGAGTTGGAGAGAGACAGAACGGAGGAACTACAGCGATTAAAAGAGCAGCACAGGTAACATACAAGTTTTTCTCACATTTTGTAGAATGGATACTTTCCCAGTGATTAGTATTAAATTCTATATTTGTATGGTATGGGTGGTTCATCTTGTTTTGTGCATAGTTTGATGTCCATGTTAATGAAAGTTGCCTAGTGCCTAGATTATGTGTAATGTTGTGATTTTCATATTTTCATGTAGCAGCCTTTTATCTTGTCTCTCATAAAAAAAATGAGAAAATTGGCTTTCCTCCACCCCTCAATGAATTGATGATGCTCTGGTGCTTAAAGAACTTTTCACACTTGTCCTGTATTTTAATTTTCAAGATTGATTACTGGCATTTTGGCATTTACAGGTCTGCCATAACTGATATACAAAAGGAACATGAAGAAGCAATTCAGAGATTGAAAGCAATTAACCAACAAGAAGTGGAAGCAGTCAGCACTGCTACTTCACATAACAGGTACTCACATATAAGCTACTTCACATAATCTGCATCACATGACAGATACTGAACACAACAGGTAGCTACTTACACACTTAACTGTTAAACTTGCTTTTTATGGAGTGAATTGAGTGTAATGAAAAACAAAATGAAGATATAAAAGAATATTTCTATTTATTTCCAACTCAATTTCACAAATAAACAGTTTTTGAAAATAATTAACAAATAGGAAGTATGAACCTGTTTTTGTCTATTTTATCATGCAGCATTAGGAACTAAAAAAAATACACCAGAAACTACAGCATCACTTTCATTTGTTTTTGTTCTTAAGGCTTATAATGATAATTTTATGAATAATGTTTCAGATCTCTGCAGTCAGTGGTAGATCGCATTCAGAGCAACACTCGCAGCCTGAGTGATCTCCAACATGTAGTGGAGACACACCACTTTGCCAACATCAATGATAGAGACATTGCTGCTACTGCAAGAGATGAACACTTAAAACGTAGGTGCCAGTGATGTTGTTACATTTTCCTTTGTAAAGTGTTGGAATGGCATTTGCTAAAGACAAGCATCAGAAAAAAGTGTTTTGAAAACATTTCTCCTGCCAGCAACAAAAATGATAAGAAGTACTGTTTAAACAGTTTGGAAAACATTACTGCTGAAACTCATGAAACCTTACCGCTTGTTATTACCATTCCACTGTCATCACAGAGATTATTCAACATAACAGAGGTTAGTTTCCAAATATTTAAACTCCATGTGTGATGATTCAGACCTTTTTACAGGTGCTTTGAACAAAATAAATAAGTTTTTACATTTTGAACACTATCCCAGATATATTTCTCACTTCTCTTGGTGTGTCTAGTGCTCCAAGAAAGGCTGATAAAGCAGCAGGGGGACATGGACAAGGAGAGAGAAAGACTACAACAGCTGGTTGCAAAGATGGAGATTCAGCTTAGAGAACAAGGTAGACAGCTGGAGGAGGTAAGTAATGCCAACACATCAGGACTCAGTTTTAGTTGGAAACTTCAATGTTGGTCAATATTTTGTGACAGAAAACTTGTCTAACTCCTTTCAGCATAATTCTGTTATGTTCCACTAAAATAATGTTACTATCAGCAGTATAAAACAATAACCATTTCCTGTATTTATTTATTATTATTATTATCATTATTATTTTAATTTTCACTTATTTATTTGTTTATTTTTGTAAGTAAGACCCAATGTTCTCATCTTGGTAAAATACCAATTTATTTATTTATTTATTTATTGATTTTTTAAAATAGACCAATGAGGAAGAATGGTACTTAGAAGTTAAATGTTCCTTGTAAGACAGACACCAGCTGTGTAATCCTGTGCTTATAGACTTTTGTTTGGGAAAAGAAGCCTAAAACTTTTTCTTTAAACCATCCATGTAAAACACAAACATGAACACGTTGTTTTTATTGTGAATCCAGGAAAAATGGAAAGTTAAACAGGAACAGAACAAGCTGTCAGTTCTCCAGATATCTGTAGAAGAAGAAAGAAGAATGATAACAGATCAGTTGACCAGGGAAAGAAGTGAGCTACAGAGCTCAAAGGTGATGTTTACCTTTTTAATAATCATTGATAATCATCTAATACTGCAGTTTTCCTTGAGAAATATTGAATAATCTGTGAGACTGTGAGATCTAGGTTAAATTTGTGAGTCTTGCTGCAAATCCCAGAGTTGTAAGGTCTGAAATCTGAATAAAAGGCAAAACTTAACATTGAATATTCAGGATAAATGAACAGAAAGCTTTCAACTGTGGTATTGTTCACACCAATTTGAAAGAATGATAACAGTGAATAGTTGTCAAAATATTTACTTTTTTTTCTTATCATTATCTTTTTATTTGTTGATTTACCTGGATAAATTAATGTAAATTAGTATATATAAGATATCAGTCAGCCTAAGCAGATCACAGTACACAATGATGCTAAGGGGCTATGCCAGTAAACATTTACAAGCAGAAGGAATGTTATGCATTAGAATTTGGTTGAAATAAGTATTAAATGATGCATTAAACCATAGAAAGCACTATAAAGGCCAATATATTTTAATCATTTTCTCTGGTTTAAAATTAATTACAGGATGCCTTGTTGAAGGAACAGAAGACCATCTACTCCCAGCTATATGATGAGAGAAGAGCACTCTCAGAGGAGAGGGCTCAGTTTAATATGTTACAGAGTACACTTCTCAATAGGGAACAGAGGGACACTGTCCGTAATGTACAGGTTTGTACTAATTATATTGGATGGTTTCTAGAGTAAATATTGTTATTGACCATATTGAAAATTGTTCCATTTAACATATTTTGTAAAATCATAAAGAATGAATTTACTTTAAAAATTTGGTTAATTTTTTTTATTTTGTTGAAAATGAATATAAAGAAATTAATTTTGTTGTTCTTGAGTAAAACCTATTGCACACCTCACATAATACTTAAATTTGAACACTCCCTGCTATAGATTCATTGTTAAACCTTGAACTTTATTGCCATTTCTTTTCATTTCCCATGTACCAATATGAAACCTACAATTCTCATTTCTTTATTGAATAAGGGAAATGGAAAGCTCTCGAATATGATATGGATGCTTGTGTTTTATATTAACCTACATACAATTCATACAAACAGGCAGAGGCTGACCTTGAAGGCACCATGAAAACCCTGAGCAATGAGAGGATGAGGCTGCAGACCATGTCAGAGGAACTTCAGAAGGAACAACAAAGGATCAACACAGAGAAGCTGGCATTAGACCAACAGAAGGCGGCCCTGCAGATGGAGAAGGAGAAGCTGGATGAACTGGCCACACACATGAAGCTGAGATCTCAGGAAGTGGAAGAAATTAGCTTGGTGTGTTGTTTTTTATCATACGTTATTATATTAGAATTTGTGCACGTGTATATGGGGTGATAAGGACACTGTTTTGCTATACTATATCAGGGGCTTCTAAAAGAGTATGCAAAATTTAAGCATCAACAATTTTGTTACAGGCTACTATTGCATCCTGTGGTCAGAGAGAACTGTTTTACATAGGCTGTTTTCATGTTACCAGTGTGCTTGACAAATTGTTTCCTGTTGTGGAATACCTTTCATTCATTCAGTTTTTTTTCTTGCTTTGTAGGAAGCATCTAAAGTGAGAGAAGAAGGTGATAGAATGTTAGCTGAGGCCAGAAAGGTCCAGGCTGAGCAGAGTAACAAGTTACAGAATATACAGATCCAGATTAGTGCCCTCAGAGAGAAGGAGAGGCAGATTGCTCAGGTAAGGACTACTGATTTCCAGTCTGTTTCAACATGCTTGTACTTATCCTGATAGTTTTCATGTCTTCATAAGTTTTTATGCGATCTTTATAATTAAACTATTTTATATATATATACTTTATTATTGATTGGTAGTTTTATTCCATTGCTTCATTGAACATGCTGCCATTCTTTAGGTTTAAGCAACTTGATAGATTTGTCTTAGCCAACACACACACATGCATGCACAGACAAAATTACACAATTCTTGTAAAGTCTTTATTGTATTGATTCAGGAGAGACTGGGTCTTGCCAAGGAGAAAAAGGAACTTGGTCACTTGAGAAATTCTTTCATTTGTATCAACTGTAGAACACCTGTGAAGGATGCCACACAACATGGTATGATTTGTGGAAGAATTTTTTTAAACATTTTATGAAAATCAGAAATTTGTTAGTTTGGCAATTGAGAATGTGTATAAAAGATGAAGAACAGGACACGTCAGTTGAAGTTGCTTACGCTAAAATATTAATTTTGAGTTAAATAGACCAGGCATGTCCTCTTGTCTCTTACAGGAAGTCCTATATTAGGGGCAGCCCTCAATATCCCAGGGAGTTCTGCCAATGCAAATGGGGCTGCCATTTCTTTACAAGGGAGTGGAACAGGTGAACCCTTTACCAGCCCAGTTCTCAACAGCATTAGCTCTAGCCTGGCAAAGGACAGAACTTTTAGAATGTGGAAAATGAATGCAGAAAAGGTAAATAAGTGATAGTGTTATTATCTTTGAAAAGCAAGATATTACTTAAATATTGTGACTTCTTGCTCCAAATTGATATGGTAATGGAACTAAGGATGCTGGTGTGAGATCAGATAGTGTGTTATAGTAAATAATGCCTTAAATATAACTATACGTGGTAGCTGGGTTCATTCAAATGTAAAATTTCTTTTAACCAAATAGGTGGAAATTTATAGAAAATCAGATCCAAATTGGTGATAGATCTGGCAAAAATAAGCAAACACTTCACATTTCCCAAGCCAAATTAGAATGTGTTAAATTTTTTTCACAGTAGAAGTGCACTAAGGCAGATAATGATGCTGAGGTTTGAAATTAAATATATTTAAAAAACATTTTCATTTTTACAGGTTGTTATATTACTTAATGAACATCTCTTTTTTTTTTCAGGACCATGAGTTCCTGGAAGATGAAAGTTTATTTCTTGAGGCTCTTAAACATTCACCATACCATACCCCACCAACAGCTGTCAAAGACTAGAGCTTAATCAAAGACTGAGCCACACTTCTATTTTTGTATATATTTATTTTTTACATATTTTTTTCATGAGTGACTTTACTTCTATAAATAGGCCTCCGGCCATTTATCACAACTGGCATCAGTTTGTATTATAACTATAACATAATATATGCACATGAAACAATAAATTATGTAACATTAAAGTATTTTGTAACTCTATGTCCATCTTCTACAGATATTTGTATAGACTAAGGTGCTATCTTGTCACATCATGATCTCACAATGACCAGCAATCTAGAACTTACGATTGTCACCCTGACTAGCAGTCTTTATTGACTAGAACCAGACTGCATTAAAATATGACTAACAGCTTTCAAAGGCTATATCTTGACTACATTAAATATGACTAGCACCTTACACTGGCCAGAACATGACACTGGGTTTTCCACAAAGGGCACCCTTCAGGAAATGCAAGTGTATAGTGTTGTGAAAGGAGTGTAACTAAACACATGGTTACACTCTATGCGGTTTATGGTCAGGTTTAATCTTGTTTACTTATTGCACTGTTGTTTATTTTTTTTAATATGACCCTTTTTCTTTAATTACGAAAATTTTTGTCTGGCACGTGTGTGAGGCATGTTTTAGGAGGGGGATAATAAAGAACAACCAATCTTTGAACACAGAGACCTCTCCCGTTTTTTGAAGACGCTTTACACCATAATTTACTGCAGTCAGAACATCATGTTCTAGCCCCAAGAATAGCCTGAAATGTGTTATCAGCAAAGAGATCGAGAAAGAGAGAAAAAGTGATTTTGATATTGTTTGAGGGTAGGGCCTATTTACATGTGCAGTCATTGGAGTCGATGTGATTGTGATAAATCAATTCAAACTATTGGATATTACTGCTTTAAATGACAGCACATAGTTTTCTTTCCGATCAAGGAAGTGCTTCTCAAGTTGATCAAACCATGCCAAGCACTGTATTCAACATAATTAGCAAAAAAAAAAAAAAAAAAAAACTAATGAAGCAGACGTCTTTATTGAACGTCCCTATACTATGGCATTGTGGTGACATAAGATAGTTAATCTGGTGCTCCTATTAAGTGCCAACCCATCCGCCCCCTTCACACGCACACTCAGTAAATATAACTTTGATCCAGTTAACGAGTTTATTTAATTACTATAGACTATTTACTTTTGGGTTGTCCGTCTTGCGAGGTAACTACCAGTATATACGGTAATTCAGTAAAACAGATGATCGACTGGTGCATGTACATTTTGATTGTCTGTCCAGTCTGTTTGGATGTCGTCTGCTTGAACGAACGAATGATTCTGTGTTGACAATCTATTGTTCGTCACATGCTTTCCAGGATCCAGTGGCATGGTACACATGGGTGCCCTCTCATCTTTGAAACGTCAGCGTGAACCCCGCTTGGGTAACCTTAGAAACGACGGCTTGAAGTCGGCGGTTTCTGTCGGAATTGATAAAGAGGAAAAATCGTAAATGTAATAAGGAAAGAACCAATATTTTAAATTTATCCCGTATGAGATCTTCGTTAAATGAAAGCAAATTGCCGAAAGCACCGGTATGAGAAAGGGGGGCAAAAGTTTTACTGTATTTGAACAGGATAAATTAACTAGTTTATCTTCACATGTCGGCTGTGGTTATAAGGTTTACACGTCACGAATTATGTTGCGTTCGCATATCCGGGCAAACATTGCGCAACTTACCCAATCAGTGTTATAGTGACGACATCGACGAGTTAATTGGAGCTTTCAGATCTTTATTCACCGACTAATGTTTCACACAGATTCAATTTATGTGTGCATGAATTGAGAGGAGTCTCTGAGACTAGTTTGCTGTCAACAATTTCGTAATTTCTTCAATTACAACAGATATAGTTGAAAAAGTCATTTTATTGACATTTGTACCTTGATTAATACACAAAGCACGAATTCAAAATGTGGCTTTGACATCATTTTCAAACATGAAAACAACTTTCACACTTATTGACTCGCAAAGAAATTAAACTTGCACTCAATAACTCCCTAGGCTTTTACTATTTTCGAAGGGAATTACCTAAATACTACGGTGAAAATTAAAGAAAAAAAATCTTCATTTTAGATCTTGGGGGGGGGGGGGGTAAAAACTTTTCCTTTTTTTCTTGTCAGAGGTTGTACAGTTTACATGTTAAAAGCTTCATAATTTTCAGGGTAAAATTTATCATAGTTTTTAAATGAAAACATTTAAGTATGCAATTATCAATAAACTTTTAAAAAGCGTTGGGTGTTATGTTTGTAGACCCCCAAATATTAAAATCTCACGCGTGTGAAACTTTTAAAGGTTTAAATGAAATAAAATCAAAATAGACAGACCTACACTTGAAACTGGGCTATAATTTGCCCTAAATTAAAGACCACGCAATCGTTTTATTCATATCATTACATTTTACGCACGACAAAGCATTACGCGCGTGGGTTTAGAAAAGTTGACTAGTGAATGCGTGCAATAGCAAGATAAAAGACGTTTGTGTCTGATAAGACGCACTTGACCGCAGAACCAGGCTTCAAGGGATGTTTATTTGTTTTTGGTCACGTGCATTTTTAGTGGTGAGTTATTTGTATAAAAATTCTATAGATTCGTTCTAAGAATCAATGTACGTGACAGCCGGACTTGGGGTGGATCGCTGGCAGTGGACACAGATATATCGTACGAATCTACCAGGCGACCTGCTCGCCAGAGTACTGAAACGGTAAGATTTAAAGTTAATTTTCCATATGTAGACAATCTGAGTTTTTGTAAAAGTTTTCAAGCATTGTTCTAGTTTTGGTATCGATATAAAATAGTCTTAAACCCTAATTTTTTATTTTGTGAAATGTGCATTAAACAGCAGGTAGAAAAGACAAAAGTCGAATTTTTTGTAAATAAACTGGGTATTGTTATCTATACACATATTTCATAAGTAAATTGCCATAGTACAAAGGGGGGTGCAAACTGCATTTTGAAATACAAAAAAAAAAAAAAAATAAATAAATAAATAAAAAAAAAAAATAATAATAATAATAAAAAAAAAGAAATATTCGTGATCTGAACAAAGAAAACGTGTGTTATAAAGGTTCGTTTATGTCAAAACGCAAAATTAACATAAAACGAATGGAACAAAAATTCTCTTTCTAACGTAAATTCGTTCGTTAATTCTCTTTGTGACGTAAATGGACAATTATATCAATTGTGTTCATTACCTATAATGCAGGTACATCTCCACAGCTTTTTACCAAATACGCTCTTGCCTTAATCAACTACTGAATAATATGATAAGTTTTGCTTTTCGAAAGACATAAAAAGAAACACTGAATAAGCTTTATGCGCCTGATGTATGTGTTGGCTTGGTTTGCAAATTAATAAACGTCAATGAGTAGCGAGTTTTGAATTAAAAAAAAAGTGATTGAAGTATTTGTTAATTTTTTCAGATAAATATGGTGCCTGCAAAACCAGGACTTCTTGCTGCTGCGCTGTGTGTTCTGATAGCAGTTCAAACCGCAGCCGGATCTGGTATTTAATCTGTAGCATAACTAAATAGTAAACGATTATGGTTTTTAAAGCATTGTTAAAACAATGAAACGCTTTATTTTGCAATGAAACATTCGGATCATCCCTGGGCAAAATAAGGCCAAATTTACCCCTCTCTCTCTCTCTCTCTCTCTCTCTCTCACACACACACACACACACACAATGAAATAAAGGATGAGTTAATCTTTGTTGACGGCCTATCAGCCATGTGCAATTTGAGAGCACCGCCGTAAATGTATTTCTAAGCGTAGTATGTGAAGATGAAGTTGAGGCAGTCCTAAGCATGGCCATATTGTATGTTTCAGGCGTGCCAGACAACAAAGGGACCGAATTCGTCCTCGTTTTCATTCAGCAGCACAAAGCTCTGCTGACGAATGGGAGGAACTCGCTGTACGTTACCAGCGATGAAGCAACTAATGTGACGATCGAAATACCTAGCATTGGTAAAGTGTCTTTTAGTTTTATTCCTTTAATGTAAAAAATGTATATGTACCAGTACACGTTAAGAGGACTATAGGCTTATCATTAGAAAAGGAAAGAAAGCGTTTATTGTCGCTTTAAAAATGGACATCAGTAGATACAATGAATGTCAGAAGGTAGAATACAAACGAAAACGTTTACCCAGATTTGTCATTAAATGATTTTTTTCTATTAATTTGCAATTCAAAGTGCATGCAACAAGACTTGGATTGAATGCAAAATGTACGCGTTTTCTTTTTTACTTTCTAGGTTTTCATGAAAATTACGAAATTGAAAAAAGAGAATTAATTTCACTTGACTTCGACGGAAGCATCCGGTTCCATAACGGGACCGAGCTTGCACACAAGGGGATAAGCATCCGTTCTAGTAAAGAAATATCGGTTTACGGCCTGAACAGCATCAAGTACACAACGGACGGGTTCCTTGGTCTTCCCATGGACATTCAAGCCTACGAATACGTGGTGCCTTGTTACACGCCGCAGGGTAACGCTCTGGTCGCAGTGGTGGCAAACGAAAATGATACCAACATCGCAATAAAAATCAAAACCCCAAATGGTACGGTGACGTTTAACAACAAAATGTATGGTGACGGTGACTGGTTAAACGTGACTCTTAATCGACTCGATGCGTTCCAGCTTGCTCACTTTGAAGACTTAACAGGGACGCGCATATACACCGATAAACCGTTATCTGTGTTCTCGGGAGGTGACTGCTCCTATATTCCACCTGGTATCAAATTCTGTGACCATCTCGTGGAACAAATCCCCCCTATTAACAGCTGGGGTCGGCAATTTGTCACCATTCCTTTGGAAACGCGTCTTTCTGGCGACATTTTTAGAGTGTTGGCCGCTCACGACGATACCATCGTTCATTTTGGCCCGAACTTGAACGAGACCCTTCAGGAGGGAGAATTCTTAGAGGTAGACGTACCTTCTACGGTCTATCGGTACGTAACATGTTCTAACCCATGCCTCCTTTTACAATATTCCAAAGGCGGCAACGTAGACAACAATACCGATTCCGATCCCTTTATGCAAATAATCCCTCCTATTGAACAGTACAGCGCCGAATATACTCTATCAACCCCGGATGGGACGACGAGCACGAAGTTCCGAAGTTACATAGGTATAGTGATCGAAACAAAGTATAGAAATGGACTCCGTCTAGATGGTCGACCATTAACTTTTGGACCGGGAGGCACGTGGACTCAAGTTGCGGGGACCAATCACTCGGCAAAATCAGTGCGCATAAATCCTGGTACCCATACCATAGAGCATCAAGACCCCAGGGTCGTTTTCGCGGTGTATTTATACGGCTTTATGAAGGATGAATCTTATGGATACCCAGGCGGTCTTCGGTTGGCCAATATTGCTGACGAATGCATTCCGAAAATTGGTCTTCCGGCGGACGGGATGGACAATGACTGTGATTACAGAATTGACGAGGAACTTGCTAATGGACTCGATGATGATGGAGACGGTGTCATAGATGAAGATCTTGCCGCTGCACCACCACGTCTAATAATCCCAGGTGACTACAATGATCAAGTTTGTATCATAAACACGACGCCAGACGAGACCGGGAGAGCTCGAGGTACAGTTGCACATAAATGTCAGCAAAGAGGAGTGACGTCCATTACATACACCGACACAGGCCTTTCGTCAACCGCGTGCGAGAAACGTTTGGTGAGGAAGTGGGAGTTGCGCGACGGGTGTGGCCACATCGTGAACGGCAACCAAACCATAGAACAGCACATCAAGGAGCCGGTTATCCGATTTCCTCTCGACATAGACGTGTATATAAAATGTGACGAGTACCGTTCAGACTGGGAGAACAACGAAGTGCCCCAGGTATTGGAGAAATGCCCATATCACAACATCACCTTCCACAGAGATACAACAGCGGGTGTATGTGATGGTGAGAGAACAATGGTGCGACACGTTAACTGGACGGCTACTGATCAGTGCGGCAGGCGACAACACCACCTCCAAACGATTAACATCAACCCTCAAGGTTAGTGTAACATCAACATTCGTTAATAAAACCCGTTCTTCTTCTTTGTAGAAAAATGTCAAATCTAGGCATCTAGTATGCATCATAAGATTATCCAGTATGAATTAGTAGTAAAAAATCTCGCCTTTTTTCAGTATGTTGTACGCAGCTTTTTACGTTTTATGAAACTCGTTGGTGTCAAAATGTGGTGCTGCAATTTTCTTTGGTTTCTGCTCTCATGTGTTAGTTGAGCCAAGAGTGCGATTGTGTTTGGATGTGCTTTTCCAGCATCAAACCAAATTATGGATGTGCAGTGTAATTCCGTACAATTGGAAGTGCAGGTGGACGTGGCGAAATTAAATGCACAGTATGAGAACATAGATATGACGAGTTTAAGACTGCTAGACAGAGGATGCACTCCTTTTCGAAGCGGATCAAAGCTGATCTTCAACATACCACTGGGCGCATGCGGGACACAAAGGAAGGTAGGCCTACACCTAAATCTTTTAATGAAAAATCAGAAAAAAGAATGTGCGTCTGTGTGGAAAAGAATGTTCATTTTACATATGCAATATTGTTGTACATTTCTGAGTTTTCTGGTGCACAACTTCTTTTACATCTGTAGGTTTCTCAAAAGCTTTTTTTTTTTGCCTTTTTTTAGGAAACAGACAATGCCATTATGTACAGTAATAGGATACAGTCAGTTAGTTCCTCTAGTGAAAGACACAGACCTCCTTCCAGCATAATTTCAAGAGGGAGGGCACTAATGCTGCCATTTGATTGCGTTTTGCACAAGCATGCAACGGTGGCCAGAGAATTTCAACGTAAAGGGCACAATGTGATAGGACGAGTACACGTTGTGCACGGCAATTTCACCATACACATGAACATGTTCAAGGACAAGAATTACAGGTGCAGCCAGTGATGGGTATATTAAGAAAGAAACAGAGAGAGAAAGAGAGAAACAAAAGTGACAGATTCTGCTGTCACCATTTCTTTTCAATATTAGATAATTATGTATAAAAGTTATACACATTACAACTTTCATTTGTCATTAAATTAATCATAAACCCAGACTACACAGTGCAGATCACTGAAAGTTATCCATATTCAAACTCTTTTCTTTATTTTCTTTTGAAGGATTCCAATTGTGCAATTTCCATATTTTGTTGCTTTTGGGGATACCGTGTTTTGGTCAGTTAAACTAGCGACGTCAGATCCAAATCTGAAGCTCATAGTCCAGATGTGTGAAGCCACCCCTTTTCCTTCGAGGACGTACCCTACCAAATATTTTTTGGTCAAGGACAGGTAAGCATTTTGTCATCAAAAGAAGCTCAAAAGTTGATTGATACACCTTGGCTAACAACCATAAAAATGGCTGTTTTGAAGTTTCTAGACAGAAGAGACTTTGACTTCAAATTCTGGTGTTTCAAAACTAATAGCCGTTAACAACATCATGTGTAAATATAAAATATAATTTCCAAGTAAGTAACTGAAAAGAAGTGTTAATTGCATATAATCAAATAGGCCTATTGTCATTTTCAGGTGTCCTACTGATCCAACACTCCACATTCAGTCTGCCAGCCCCAAGGAAGTTAAACTGGACTTTGAGGTTTTTGAATTCATTCGTAAGATTGGCCTTGTTTACGTGTACTGCGATGTCACAATTTGTACGTCCGAGGATACATCTCCACACTGCTCACAAGAATGTTCATCTACCAGTGGCGCACCACCAACAGAGGGCAGCAGTGGACATCAGCTAAAGCGACGTGAAGCAAACCATAAACACACTGCTCTCAATCACTATGATCTTTACACTGGACCACTTGTTTATCGGGAAAAAACTTCAAAGGGTAAGTTTTTTATGTGGAGACTGTGAGGCAATCTTGTAAACCATAATATATTATCATTTTGAATTTAATTGGGATTAATTAATATGTACAATACCAGTAATATGCGAGAACACTGTCCACATAATAGCTTCACATTCCCATACCTAGATCGATCTAGCAGGATCTCCAAGAAGATTCTTGCTAAATCGCATTGAGCTTAAGCAGCTGTGATGTCTGGTATTCCTACTGAAGCTGTTAGGGGGTAACTAAATATTGTTTAGCAGCTTCTGTAGGTGTACAAGACATCTAAGCTGCTTAAGCTGAATGCAATTTAGCAAGAATCACCTCAGAGATGGGTCGATCCTGCTAGATTGATCAATTTTCAGGCATCCATCGTACCAGTAATAAACTTCTTGCTCTGTATAAACTACAATTCAGTTGCATTAATATTTTTCTAGTTGATCCACAGTCAAGCTCAAAATTAACTGTTGCCGCATCTAAACCAGAGAATGGTCTGGAGATACCTTGGCCTGCAGTGATCCTGGTGGCTATTGCCCTGGTGGCTCTCTTGGTGGCAGTGGCACTGCTTCTCTTCGTCAGTAAAAAAAAATAGACCACTGATCATTTCTACCAGAGATAGGCCAAGATACCACTGAGACACACACTAAGCAAGGTTAAGTGTGATGCTCCTTTGTTTAGTGACACAGAAGGAGTGCATCAAAACAGGATTGTTTCATCTACAATTGTAGCTTATATAGACAACGTACTGTTCTAGGATTTTTTCAATAGACAATGTTACTCTGTTGGGTATAGCTCATTTAATCTGCCATAAACCTTTTGTTTCTGTTGGGAAGATCAAAGAGACTCACTGGACCAGTTTCCACAAAGTCGACATTTTCAAACCATGTAGTACTTAGGTATCTTTATTACTACAACTGTGGACCACAGAAATTGGATTACTCCATTACAAAGCTGTCATCTAAGCCATTTTTTTTGCCTTGGGCAGTCACAGCTTGGATAATTTTTGAAGGCCATTGTATTTTATGTTATTCCCAACACCTTTGCAGAGACGATTTTCACTCATTGAAGTTTGCTGCAAACTAGTTTGTTGTAATCATACATATTCAGCAAAAGAAATTAGTCTGTTGTGTTGGTATTCATTCAGTTTCTCATCATTGCAAGCTCATTATTCTTTATCAGATTCATTTAGTGCACTGTGAAGTAACAAATACTTAGGTCGATTCATGTAGTTTATTACCCATTTTGTAGAATATTTCTTTTGTCTGTATATCTGTTATGATTATGCCAGTTAATCCCTATAATTCTCTATTTGATACCAAAGTAAACTTTTGATAAGTTTACTTCATGCTTTGTTGCAGTATCATTTACTAATAGGTGTAGTAGCATAGATTGTTGTTTGTATAACTGTACATACTGTAAAAAAACTTTGTCAAAATTTAAAAAGCAATATTTTCTCAAGTTTCAGATATTACTGGAGTAGATATTGATATTCGCTATTGGTATGCCTCTGCTATTTCCATTTCCTGAAAGTGGAGTTTAGCTTCTACTAATATTTGAAACACAGTATGCAGAGAAATCAAATTACTGGACAGTTTCAAAATGAATGAAAACCAAAGATCCAGATTTTTAAAAGAGATTTACACTTAAACGCTGCAAACATGGCTCTTGAAGTATATTTATTTCGAATTTTTCTATAGCTATGTTGAAAAAAAATTGCACTGTTGACTAGCTGTAAAGTCCAATGAATGTTATATCTTTAGGCTCTAAATGAATATGTTACTATTACCGTTACATAATCTCTGATATCCAGAGTGAGAAAATGGAATTACCAGACGGTTTCCCAAAAAATTAAGAAGGCTGATACTTAAACATTTAAAAAACCTCTAAAAACTGTATATGAAGAAAAAATCTTTGATAACTATGAAAAGTATAGTTTGTGTCTCTAGTTGTAAATCATTCTTATAAACTACAGCCATCAATAATTATGAAAGGTCAATTCTCTTGCTCATATAATTCAATGAATCAAGCAAACAACAATTATTGCTTGGTGGAATGGAAACTGATAATTCTAAATGCACATAAGATCAATAATGTTTGGTTACAAATGTTTTAAACATTTTCATTACATTATATGATTTTCATCTAAATATTATATTAAATGTCACAAATACTACCATTTTATAGAGATAAAAATAATATCACAGTCAACAGCCTCCTCACTATGAACTGTGCTAATTAAAGGGACTGTTAAACATTTGAGTTCTACCTGGGTAACATGTCTTCCAAATCAGCTGTAACATAAGCCATCACAGCCCACACTGCAGAGCATAGATCTAAACTATGGGAGTTCAAGACTGTCATTGTGTCACCTGAAACATGTTGAAAATTTAATAAGCATTTTCTTGTAATCACTGGAGAATTTGGATGAAGTGTAAATAAACACTGTTGATTACCAGTTATTATATAGTAGGAGTGGCACTGAAGTCCATATTAAGCTTGTATAGGATGTGTGATCTGCATGATATCAGAGACCAAAGGAAAAAAATAAAATTCACGATAAAATTATATTTTTAAAAAAATTCAAAAGGTGTACAAAACCTCAAATATTCTACTCTTTTTCATTACTAAAATCACTGTGACAAAGCTGAATGTGAAGCAATAAAGATGCAGATTCAAAGGTGAATCTATTTCTGAAATTTCCTCTTTTTTAAAATCTTTCACCTTTCACTATACCACTTATGATGCCTTACTTTCCCCTCACCAATTTTTCAAATGTATCACTTGACAACCCAAATTTAGTAATTATGTAATTCATCATTAAACAATTTTATGCAACATAAGAAAAATTGCAATCAAAATGACAAAAGATGATAGTGCATTACATTATACTATGACACCCCTGACCTACCATTAGAATGATGAAAAAAGAAATATTTGTCATTTTGTGTGTCAATGCTTGCTCCTGGAACATTGGACTGTGTCTGCCATTGGCTGATGTCTTCACCATCAACTCTATCTTTGAGTCTGTTCACCTTTGAGGCATTGATGGGTTTCAGCAGGCTAGCCACCTTCTCCATGATTACTGCTGCCGAGTCACTACCTTCAATGTTAATTATCCCAGTTTCACATATACCCATTACTTGAAACAAATAATAATGACTGTCTTGAGATTCCCAAAAATGTGTGAAAATAGCTTACACTCTTGATACTGCAGTAATTTATCCAACTGAACCAGACAAATGTTAAATGATGTTCAACAGTGATGCTGTCAAGTCTATTACTGTGACATTGTTGTACTTATCCATATATGCATACTATATGCATGTGCAGTCAGCCATAACACCACATAGTAGCATCCTAATGTATATTCAACAACTGTTGAATATGCACACACAGGCACGCACACACCAAGCACACACACCAGTCATGTTAAAATGTACATATGTTACATTATTTCTTTTAAGTGACTTCATGATTGCTATGTAAAACAGAAATAAACATTCTTTCAGTAATTGTATCACATGACGCAACAGCATAAGACTGAAAATATTTTTTACCATGAAACTGTATGCCAGTTGGGGTAAATGTGCCCAGGTCAGATTCCATTACAATATCATATTTGCTGGCGTTGACCTGAAAGCCAAATAGAATGGAAAGAGAAAGAGTAATTTAGCCCAATGTTCAATGTGGTTTTAAAATCCAAAGGGACAGGTATCAAAAACAAAAATATGTGCTCAGAAGTTAAAAATGAATGACATATTATAAACCAACCAACACATAGTCACCCAAAGTAACTGATGATATACACCTTGATTACAATATTGTCTGATACAATCTTCACATTATATATGGCGAAGGGGGCTACTGACAGTGAGTGGTTTGTTTACAAACAGAGGGGTGCACATGTTCCAGTGATGCCGGTAAGAAATAATGTTTGATGACAGTAAATTTTTGTGCCATTGGGAGTTATGTCAGTGTGTCTGCTGTCCATGGGGATGGGAAATGTTTCACCCAATAATTTTGTTCATGCAGTTTTGCAGGCATTTCTTAGTATGGTCATCAATGGGAAATTATTTGGTGGTTTCTGCCCTTAACGCGCCTCCTCCTGGTGTTGAGTAGAATAGAGACAAGGTGGTGATTATACGAGTACATTGGAAATAAGGGCTGTATTAATTAATTAATTAATTAATTAATTAACTAATTAATTAATCTGATTGCATTTAGTAAAAGTCCCTGTGGAGCTGCATTAATCTATGTAAATTACTAAAACATTAATTTCATTAAATCCTTGGGAAGGAGCCTTAAGACTATTTCTGTGACTGAATGTATGCCACATAAGTGTAGTGATATCCTAGAGATCAAACTCATCTTTCTTTAAGTTTTTCAGCTAAGGTTAAAATGAAACTTTGTAACACAAAGTCTGTGCCTGTCTCAGTGGAATTATGGTGAAAGCCTGAATAGGAACCTGTATGATAAGGTTTATTTGGGTGCAAAGCTGAGGGACTGTGGAAGTATTCTATTCACACGTACTTGAATGAAGTCAAAAGTAAAAGATGTGCTGGCATGCATTAGGTGTGTGTAAAAGTTATCTTCCAGAGTTTCTCAATGGAAAGTAAAAGAGATAAACGTGACAAAATGTTATTTTGGCTAGTAATCTGTAATAAATATCTGATTCAAATTGAATAAAGCAACTTTCTGATTTTGGAACCGAGACGGCAGTTCTGTTGTTTCTGACTCACCGACATCGCCTGCTGATACCTGTTCTCAAGAGTCTCACCTTGTGTGTGTTGTAGTAAGCTTGCCCTCCTATCACTCCTTCTTCCTAGAATTTATTATGAAAATGTTATAATTCAGTTACTGCCATAGAAAAATTAGCAAATGTATGTAGATCATTCTAGGGTACCAGCTTTTGTCAATGTTAGTGAAGACTGTAAGCAGAAAATCAAGTTATGGAAACTGTATTCCATGCTGACATAATGCCATAGCGATCTGATCTGGATGGGTTCATGCCATTGGCCATTGCCAAAGTGTTATGGTTTGGGCAGGCATTAATAGCAATTTTCAGATAGTACTCATGGTGATTGCAGTGACTGGTGGAAATGTGGAAAATGTGGACATCATATCATGGTTGTCTCATTTGGACAGGGGTCTTGCCATTGACCACTGCCATGGGCACAATGTTATGGTTTGGGCGGGCATGAGTGGCAATTACCAGAAAGAACTCATGGTGATTGCAGTGACTGATGGAAATCTGACAGACTAGAGGTACAGAGATAAAGTCCTGAGGGTAGCTGTTATGCTAATGATTCATCAATACCCACATTGAACTGATATTTTGTACTTTCTTTATGTGTTATACGTATCTCTCAGCAGTTTCCATAACCTCATTTGAACAGCTATGCAATTGCTCATGCAAATTTCTTGTCCAAAAATTAACCCGTCTTCCCTCCAGTTTAAAAAGTCTTTTAAGTCAAGTAGCACTGCATGCACATAGTATAATCATCCCCCCCCCCCCCCCAATGTATTGATGTAATAGGAAAAGAGAGAATACCACAGGGATTATGAAATTTATTAATTTCATTTATATCATATTTCCCTATCAGAAAAAAACAACACAATTTCAAAGTTCCTGGTTTAATTTTTCTGCCAAAATATCTTTTAAATATTATAATACTATTTTTCAAATATATACAAAAACACCCTTGTCAAAATTATGCCATTTTTGATTTAACATGCTACAAATATTTCAGTGTGCTTCTCTTAAGTTTCCACAAAGCTACTGAAAGAAGAGCATAAGCAGTAATGAGCAAACAGCTAACTGCCACCTTGTGAGCAATGACATCCAGCAAAAAGCATCAAACATTACAGATGGAATGCCAACAATATTACTCTATTCTGTAAATAGAGACAATAACCCTTCTCAAAATTATGCAGTTTTATATTTAACCTGCTGAAAATATTTTTTTATGCATCTCATTAGTTTCCACAAAACTATTGCAAGAAGAATATAACCAGTAATGCGCAAACAACCAACTGCCACTTTGTAAGCAATGACATCCAGTAGGAAGTACTGATACCAGTTTAAACTATAAGCTGCTTGGGAATGAAAGTGAAGAGGTCCATTGTGACGCATGGTGTAGTTGAGCCAAAATAAGAGTTCTTCCCGTCCTGACATAGGAGTGTCTCGCAAAATTAGTGAAATCTTCTTTGCATTTTCTTTGTAAGATTTCTTATTCAAGACCTTCCCAATGACATTTTCTAACTTAGTTTCAGTAAGGGTTAGATAATCGAGGGGCACCCCAACTTGAACACGATCAGTCAATTTTCTAGCATGTTGGCGCTGATCCCAAAAGAGAGGAACGGCCACCACAGGCACTGCATGGTACAGGGTCTCCCACATGCTGCTAACTCCACAGTGGGTGATGAACAGTTTAGTGGCTGGGTGGGCAAGAAGATCATTCTGTGGAAACCACTTTACCAGATAAGTATTGTTGCCTAGTGACTTTGGAGCTTTTCCATCATGGCGCCAAATTACCTTCTGGGGAAGCTTAGCAAAAACTCTGGCAAACACTTCTGCTTTTTCTTCTTCCAAATGTGGCACAATAGTTCCAAAGCTTAGTAGAATAACCCCATGAGTAGCAGTTGTAACAATGTCATTGAAAAACTTGGGCAGAGGTTTTGCTGGTGTCCAGAGGAGTCCAGAGATAGGTTTCACATGGGGCATGACTGGTCTGGGGTAATCTAAGGCAAAATGAACATTTGCAGCAATCATAAGAGAAACCCTCTCATATGCATGCTTCATGTGTGGAATATTTTCCTCTGGAAGATACTTTAATCTTAGGCCTTCTGCATAATCCATCTTATCATCCAGCCAACTTTTAATACTTTGTTCCACCTCATAATTGTGCAACCGTTCCCAAAAGTCCATATGGTCAGAGAGTCCAGTAGGAATGTTAGGGATGAATGAATAAAACATTGGTTGATGAAAAATATTCCAAAAATTCCAAAAGCCGTGATTCCAATAACCAACTGATGGCACTTTCAAATACTCATTAAGAAGCGCACCTGCTGCTATATTAAGGGTATCAAAGAAAAAAAGGGAAAAGTTCGAGTTTCTGAATTGCATCAAAGTATCAATATCACTGAACAGTTCGTGGCAAAGTAGATCATCAAGATCCTCCAATTGTTTTAGAGCAAGAAATGGGTCACGGTCAATGATTTCAAAAGCAGTCTGAAGATCCATCACACCACCTTTGTTAAATTCAGTTTCATCAATGTGAAATCTGATCAGTTTCACATCATGTAGGTCAAGTTTTGGTTTGTAATGGTCTGCAACCAGCATGGTAACCTCATGCCCACGGTCTCGCAGCAAGATGGCAATCTTTTCCATATTCAATGTTCTTGAATTGAATATGTGGGTAAATGGAAAAACTAATATCTTTGCACCCTCAGAAACATTTGCCAAAATAGGCAACCACAGTAAGTAAAATGCAAGCATTTTAAAAGTTGTCTTGCTCAGCAGAGAGCCCCTTATCAAACAGTACATAATCTTGAGAAGTTTACAGCTTTATATTGAAAATGCAACTTTATCTATCATACGGTAATGTCCCGTGGCTTCTGTGCAGAAGAAATTTACTAAAATTAGGAAAAGATTGTTTTGGTAGAAATTCCTGAAAGGGGAGGTGCTCAAAACTTCCAGACATTCAAATTTTATGAAATTCTGTTATTTTGGACCAGAAGTTGTCTGTTCACTTGGGCCTATGCTACTTTTTCCATACACTATCTGTGTCAGTTACCATATTGTACAAAAGGTAAGTGTAGGTAATTCCGAAAACTGTACATGCTTTCACATAAGAGTGTGGTCCAAGGTGTGAGGTAATGACTGGTAGAGTTGGCTAGCAACACAAAACAGCATCGATCATCACCATTGGGGGGGGGGGTTCATTAAGATAACAGAGCTGCACTGTCCTGCTGGCATACTTTGCCTAAGCATTCGATCTGAGATAACGGGAGCTCTGAAGTAAGTGTTTCCAAGTTTCCAAGTTTGTTTTTCAAATATAATACTGGTAACCAGAAACTTGTGTCGTTTTTCAAAAAAGAAACTTGGTAACCAGAAACTAGTAACCTCCACCATGAAAGATGGGTACGGTGTTATGAGAACTCCTTGCTCTCCTGCACTGAGACCAAGATGACTGCCAATGGATGATTATGGTGCATAGAAAGCTGGGCAGGGTATTTTGGTCTCTCTCTGATGTAGGGGAGGCAAAAACAACACCCAGTCAGTGTCTATGTGCATAGGTGTAGCCTTTACTTTAGAAGCTGGGCAGAATATTACGGTCTCTTTCTGCCATAAGGGGAAGCTGTAACGACCTCAGATCAGTCTACTACCCACAGGTAGTCCTTATCTCAGAAGCCTAAAGCTTGGTATTATGGCTGGTTATTATGGTCCCTCCCCAGCATTTTCTGAGATGACCAACTGTTGTTGTCTACAATTAAATATAATAGGCCAGTGGGGGGATTTATTGCTCCAGGTTGTCTCACCTTACTGTAGGGTGAAGCAAGTTTGATTTTATTAAATTATTCAGTGGCAGTGAAACAACCAGCAGATCATTATTCAGGGTGTGTAGGTCGCCTTCACCATGGAAGTTGGCCTGGGTATAACAGTACATCTGCGCCATACATAAGTTTTTGAGACACGCTTCCATAAAATCATATTTTACCTCCTGTACCTACATTCCAACTTTCTCTAAAACAGCAAGAATAAGAGACAAGAAACATGTACCCAGATGTACATTATGGTCTTTTTTTTCATAATTAACCACTCAAAAGACAAGAAAATTTCTGAGGTATCAATATATGCGGTTCTGGCCCTTTGAGGTAATTAAGAATTGCACTACACATAGGCAGTCCCGGTCCATGTCAGGTTAATGAAACCTCCATAATGGTGATGATGATGATGATGATGCTGTTTTGCATACCAAGCCGACTGTTATCTTGCACCTTGGGCCGCACAGGCAGTGCTCAGGTAAAGGTATGCTAGGGCAACATCGCTGACTGTTAGATTATTATTAACCTGAAAATAGCCCAATGGCCGACTTATCAAAATCCATGAAAGTCACAAATATTCAAAAAATTTTATGGTCGAAATTCAAGGGGAAAAAAAAAAAAAAAAAAAAAAAAAAATGATTTTAAGATTGTTTGAGGTTTACAAACTGTTCAAAATTTTTCACACATTACCATAGGTCATATGGGGTGAATAAGTGTGTCTATGACCTTAATGTCAAATTTTACCACCTGTGGAAAAGATAAAGGTCACTACCCGAAGCTAGAACTGATGAGAGATAAAACATAAACAGTCTGAGTTGTTGGCTTTGGCCTGTGGCTTTTGTCTACCTAAAGTGGCACCGAGCTATTAAAAAAGGTTTAATTTTACAAAGCACTAGCCTGAATGAGCTAGTAGTATTTTTTAGCCTATTTTAATGCAAAGCAAAATGTCAAAAAAATTAATCACCATATTCTCTCTGAAATAATTATATTCAGGCTAGTGTTTTTTGGTTTGGCCTAGTACATTTTTAGGCCTTGCTTGCCCCAAGGGTTAGTGGACAGTCTAAAAAGTTTTTAACACACACTGTGTATACGTCACAATAAAATTATTTTAAATTTGTTACCCTTTATCAATTACAGCATTACTTTTATCATAATAAAATACCTTTTCATACATTTATTATTTCAAAAGGCCGCTTTTCAACTGCTTCTTAATGTTTACTTTCAATCTTTACTCACTTTAAGCAAATTAAGCCACTGAAATTGTCAAAGTTTGATAAAAGGGTCATAAATGTGAAAGAAATTAGGCAATGGTATATACTGCATGGAAACTTTCCAAAAAGAAATGGAGAAAATGCTGAAAAAAGTGAAAAAAAGCATAACTTCCATAAAAATGGCCCGATCATGCTGATTTTCGAACTTGACCTGCATATTTTGAATATTCATCAGATCTGTAAGTTTTAAGCCATAGAAAAAATGATTTTCCACTTATCTTGTTATCAATAAAAGTGCACGGCGACAGCCTCAGAGACAGTGACAGTGATGACAGACGCAGGTGACGGCTATATGTACAGACACATCTGTGTCTGTACTAGTACATAAAAAAGGAAGAATCCAATCCCTGTATATTAAACCATCACAATAATAACAGATAATCAGGCAAACCAAAGAAATCCTCTGGTAATTTCTAAAGCTTATTTACATATCTCGTTCTCATAATCTGTTACCATATTCAAGGTAATACCTCAGCAGTCCACATCACGGCCCTCATGGTTCTTTTAGGCTCGAGTCCCATCTGACGTATGGTAGATAAGGCCTTAAACAGGAGAAAGTAGGATTTATCCATGTTGCCCAAGTCACTTAAATATATATCTTTCTGTTTCACTAAACACATTTCCGCAGTCTTATGTAACATATTTCTACAATTTAACAAAACACATCATTGTCTAATCTAACAAATGCAACTGTCACACCTGACACATTGCAGCAGTTTTATGAAAACGCTTTCCTGTATCACCTCATACATTCCTCCTGTCTCATGTTACACATTCTGCTCATACCCAACTTATTTTTAACAGTCACATCCAATGTGTTTACTAGCAGAAAATGGCATTTTCTTGATACTGCCCCTACCTGCCATGATATAAAAGCTCCTCCTCCATCATCCATAGCACCTTGGCCAACATCCCAGCTGTCTAAATGGCCACTGACCAAAACAACCTTGGTATGTGAAATAATCGGTGAAATAAAAGAAGCATTATATTTCATATTTAGGTTTAACATCTGGCAATATTTGAAAGAAATTGGGATGATTGCCCATTAAAATTTGCACGTTTCTTCGCACCTTTGTATTTCAACTAACTGTACATCTATTGAACACTGAATGGATTTTTTATATTAGTGACACTGTTATCAATATAATCATTATCATCAGCATTAGTCTTATTCATTTTTATGATTCCTTAGAAAACAGGAATGTTTTCACTATACAAAAGTACCATACCATAGGTACTCAAGGAATTGATGACTATTCTTTCGATTTTTCTTTACATTGTCAGAAAAAAGAGGGTATATGTATTATCATATTATAGTGCATACCTGTTCTGGGTATTTTGATCCTACAATTTCTGCCACAGTATTTCTGGACTTCACAGGGGTAAGGTTTTTGGCATCCATTTGCAAATGAACAACAATTTTTGTGCCTAAGGAAGAAATTATATATATATATATGTAATTTTTTTTCCTCTAACCACACTATGGTTGTGTTTAGAATAGAAGTGATGTTGTTCATGTTTCTTTGAAAGGGGGTGTGCCAGATAATTAAACTAATTATACTGACTGCAATTAAGAATTTAGCCAAGAACCCCTGTGATCATTACCCCCCCCCCCCCCCCCCCCAATGGGACCCTCACTCACGTCACTTCTACAACATCACTCTCACAAAGTCACGTCTTCCAAACTCATGCCACATGATTTACACCTACAAGTATCACACTGTCCACAGTTATCACTACTTGCATTCTAACACAGTTCAATGTCGTTACACACCAACCACACAGTACACTTACCTCTGTCTGCCATCCTGTTCATCATCTCTGCGTCCTCTATAGTTATACATGCAGTTGGTATTCGTTTAGTTGTGTTACTATAGTCCTGAAGCAATGGAAAGTTGACAGCAATCTATACTCACAATTATTGTGTAAAAGCATTTGTATCCAGTACATGTATTACTAAATGCATTTCCCTGATTGTCAATTATGGGTAAGGTTCAGGTATGGCTGATCTATTTTTAATGCCTACTGTACATTATCAAAATCTGAGACATAACAGTGTAATTCCATTCTTCATATGGACATTACAACACATACTCACTAATTGTAATAATTATACAGGGATGAAGTTGGATGCATCTGTTTTCACCATCCCATAATAAAAAAGATCAGCAAAAACAATTAGTTTGTTAAAAACATGGAGATGACAAGAAGAATCCCTTGTTCAAGTAATGGGTATAGTAACCACACAACAACTACCAAGTATCTTTATCAATAAGTGCGTATGTGTGTAGGTGTGTGTGTGTGTGTGTGATACTTAAAACACCAGGTGTGGCCATGCACACTCACCTGCCAGCCAGTGTGTGGGCTGTTGATAGAAAAGGGAGCAACAGATCTTATCAGTGCTGCTATACCTCCAACCTTAGCTGCATTATCAGCCCCAAAGTCTCTGTAAGCAACTGAAGTACCATAGTCTACCCACTGCTGGTTGTACACTATTATCTTGCCCTTTGCCTATAATAACACAAATATCAGCACCATAGTAACACACACACACACACACACACACACACACACACACACACACACACACACAGATATATACATCTGTTTATATTAGTATGACTATGTATAATGTTTTTACCAACATGTTAAAAGGTCAATATGATCTACTAATTTTGCTTTCAGTTTACTTTTTTTTTAATTTCTGATTTGCTCTTTATTTCAAATTCAGTACAAGGTTGCCAGCTAAACTATCATGTACCCAATATTGTGCATTTTCTTTTTATATCTATTTGACAACAAAAAACTTTACCTCATCAGCTCTCTTCTTGAGTTCATCAAATGATTTCACAACTAAAACTTCAGCTTGTATTCCACCAGAGGGAGTACCAACAGACGAGCCTAATCCCAACATTGCCATTTTGTGTACTCTTGGGAGGAGCATAGTGGCAGACTCATTTCCTCTCACCCAATGTGGCACCAATAAAAAGAAATAAAAAAACTGGTACATGTAACCATCAATAAAAAACAGCAACATGCATGAGCAATGTATCTACTATTACCACATAATATTGTTTAATGGCGAATTGTTTTATAACCTTTTAATATCTTTGCCCATTCATATTGATTTGTTACAATACTAAAACTATACACTACACTGGTTTAAACAGAACTACTAACATTTTAGTGCAGAAATAGATAATGGCATATATGTGTTTTATGACTACATATGCTTCAAAGCTTGTCACACTTTATATGGACTACATTGTTACCAGGGCCAGATTGAAGCCGTCTTCTGGGTCTTCCAGAAGACGGTCAGATTTCCAAGTTTACATTGACGAGTAACTAATTTTTTTCTGTCCGAAGACCGTCAAAAATGGAGGATGGTCCAACAAAGATCATTTGGAAAACTGTCAGAAAATATCTCTGGATCCGCCCCTGGTTACAATATACTCTTATTTCACACATATGTTTTAATACAAGTATTGATCTTACCATGACATCTTCTCCGTGAACATTCTGAAGACCATCCTTCTTTAACTGCTGTAGCATGTAGTCTGCAATTGCAAGGATAATATATGGCTCTGATCACAACAGAGTTGATCCGCAGACTAAATGAGCCGTGGATCAAATATGGGGCACACTTGAAAGTATGCCACATAATCCCCTAATAGATTTTCCACCCCCCACACAGGCCCTCCCTGCAGGGGCAATTTAACTGAGGCAAGCTTTCCAGTGGTTATTTCTTAGCATTTCTTATTTCTTATTCATTTTTCATGACACCTAGTATGTCATGGGCAATCAGCATTTGCACAAATATAGAGTGAAATTTTAATAAAAACTTCGGAATACTTTCATTATTATATAAAAAAGAGTTTATACCTATAGCATTTTCTAAATTCTGGGATCCTGCAATCCTATTACCAAATTTATCTGTAAAAGTAGCCAGTCTGTTATAGGTTTGTCCTTTTCCTTTGCCATTGACAGTGAAATCAATTATCTGTTGAGCAACATCTGCAAAAAAAGTGAAAATGTTAGGTTTTATCAGTAAAATTCAATAGGATGTTGTTAGCTAGGGAGAACAGACAATACTAGTATATGTGTGAATGGATTCAGTAGTTTTGTGGCTGATTACATGACTTAGATATTCCAAATAACATAGAATAAAAAAAATAAAGCATTGATATTCATAAATTAGAAAGGCATTTGAGATGGCAAATTAATTGGTTTACTTTTTTGTTGCCCAATGTTGACCACATCTTCCTCACTCATTTAAATTAAAGAACTGTATCCAAATGCCCTTTTTTCAAATCACTTCATGAACAATAGCAGTCCCCGCTGTAATTTTTCCCAGTTATCTGCAAATTTTACGCCTAAATACTAGTGCTTATCTAATTAATAACATACTTCTGTTATTTCACAGGTATACTATAATAATGGTTGTCCATGACAAAACTTGCTCTATTTTGAAACAAAAATTCCCTTGAAAAAAGACCTTGAAATGTCTCATCTTCTCAATATGCGATCAGAAAATAAATCATTCAGATGAATCTACTTGAACCAATGTGTCCTGATTTAATTTCCTATTTATGTAAAAATTATGATAAGAGTTCAAAACCACTAGGTGTATAAAGTGAAAGTTATATTCCATTAAGCCAAAATATAACAACTGTCAAGACAACCTGCTACATTATTCTTTATGCTAATTCCAACATGGCAATTTGATGGTAATGACGTATATACCTGTATTTATGACATATTATTAAGCAAGCACCTTGGTATTTTTCCACTTCCTTGAGGACCCTGGATGTTTTCTTCCCCCAGGCTGCAGAATCTACAGGGTGAGAACTGACTAAAACTGAAGAGAAATAAAATTAATTCTTAAACCAACCATGAAATTTTTAAATCAATTTGAAATGGCAAGGGTATAGTGTAGAGGTAAGTTTCAAGTTATCTCTGAAGCTCAGGGTGCAGAACAGATCCGCCCGTGCAGTTCGGACAAATCTGTACAGCGATTTATTGTACACATTACAATGAATCATCAGTCTTGTAAGCAGTTCAACGCGGTTACGCCATAATTTTAAAGTATTCAATTGTTCATACCTCTGAAATACGCAATCAAAAAGAAATATTTGTAAAAAGCCATCGAGGAGCAAACATCCAATAAGCCTCGTTGACGGGGTAAATAACCGGATCGAGATTGCAGAGTGGAACAGCTCTACCGGTGCATGAGACAAACCCTGGCAAATAAAAAAAAGTTCTTCTGACCATTTGGTATCATTTGTACCATTTATCATCATTAAACTATGTGTGATGGTTAAATCAGAATTTTCACAATAGAAAAAATGTGTAAATGACATCCAATCCATGTTGTCATGCCAGATTTTGGGAATTTCCCCGCTGAATGACGTAATACAGGTCTCGGGTGTCTAATATATAAGTGAAAAAGGGGAAGGGGGTGGTGTCTTGCAAAGCACTGCGTGGGTAACAATTATGCAATATCACAAATTTTTTTTTTTTTTCAAGATGGCCGACTGATCTGAGAGGATGCAAAGAGCTCTCTAAAAGTTATACCAAAATACCTATACCAGCTACTAATATGCAACTGAATCAAGGTGAAGATTGTTTTTAAATTCAAAGGCATACCACTGGATCAAACATTTAAGGCAAAGCTTATGTGAAAAGACTAAATTCTGGAAAAGACTTTCAAGGAGCAAACAGACAGTCTCAACAAAGATGGAGGACAATCACTACACTAAGCTAGGAGTGAAGCCTAATGCTACTGCTGAAGAGATAAGGGATGCATTCACCTCAAAGGCAAGTAACCTGAATGAGTTCAATGGAAATACTCAAATCTTACTACAAGAATATAGTGAAGCTTACCACAAACTGATTAATCCAAAATCCAGACTAGTATATGACCAGGAAAATAGGATTGAATCAGATTATGACTATCAAGACGAGTACTATGGTCCTAATATTGTCTCCACAACCCACAATGCCCAATGTGCCATAGTTGGAATCAGTACTGTGCCCTTAGTGAAAAAGTGGTTTGAAGCTTGCAAATCATACCACAAACAAGCCACGGAAGATGTTGTCAATTCAGGATCAGGCTCACAACTCAAATTTCCCTATATCGGCTCTATGGGATCTAAACTAGGACATGTTTCTCTAACTTTCTACAGTACAGCCAAATCCAAGAAAATACATATCCAAGGAGCAGCTTATATGCTTTGGCTCGCAAATGACTATCCAAAAATTGCAATGCTCATATCAACACCCAAAAAGATCCAGCCAGCAGTGGCAGCCAGCCAGACAGTAGTGCAAACTGAAATCACAGAAATTACCAGTAAATCAGCAGAAGAATTTGATACAGCAATACTAGATAACAGTCAAACTGAGCTTAAAAAACCAACAAAGCCTCGCCATTCCTCAACTCCCAAAGGATTCAAAACAGGCAAACTTTATTCTAGTCCCAAAAACATGAAATCAGAGAGAGAAATTTGCAAAATACAAGAAACTCTTCAAACAATTGAAAACCAGTACTCAGTATTAATGCTTAAAACTGCAGATAAAGAGAGACAGGATACAAAGAATAGCAATGAAAAGTTACAAGCCATAGAGGAGCAGCTTACTGGGCTAACTACAGTCAATGCAGAGCAATACAAAGACTTGAAAGACACCCTGACCCGCTTAACAGCCCAATTAACAACATTATCAGATCAAGTGGGGAAGCTTGGCTGCCAGCTTACTGCAAAACAAACAACAAGTGTGAATGAAGGGACCCAATGTGCCTTTATTCCCACCATCACTGCAACATCAGATACTGGAACTCAGTGTGATATACCTCCTCCCCAATCACCAACAACAAACTGTGGAGTACAATGCATCATAGATGTGACAGATAATTGCACCTCGCCACAAGCACCTGCAGAGATGCCTCTCCCAAACAATGGACCAGGTAACAAGGAGTCACAGATATCAGAAACTACAGGTAACCTATTGATGAAGCCCACCCCTCTACCTGTGCTAACCAGCATCAAACTAAATCACGTAGAGACCAGCAACATGACATGTTCACCTGTGTCCACGATACAGGTGGGAGAAGAGGATCCCCTACCATCCTCTACTAACACCATACCCTCTAGTGGAGCTGCACAAAACAAATCTTTCCCACCCAAGGGTAAAGTAACTGAGACTTTGGATGTACAACCTCAAATCACCACAACCCCCACAAACAGTGATGGCACTAGTATCCAACACCCTTTGAACACTGAAAAAGGCCCTGGACATACAAGATGGAATATTAAAATCAACACAGGACCCCTTGATAATGCAATAGTATCTAGCTCAATTGGAAAGGGACTCAATGCTAACAAAATTTTCCCTGGGACCAATAGCCATTGTTTTGCTTTGAGTGGTGGACAAATATCAGATGCAAAGGCAGTGATCGAGGAGAGCAACTGGGGCAGTCCAAAAACCATTTCTCTTATAATTGGATCAAACAACATCCAAAAACAACAACCACGTGAAACTTGTGACGAATTGAAGAGCTTGATTACAAGTGTTAAGCAGAAATATCCTGACACTGAAATTATAGTCAGCAACATACTACCTCGGTGGGGTAACTGGTCATTCAACAAAAAAGCTCAGGAAACAAACACTCTCACCCAAAGATATTGTCAATCATTGGAAAATGTTACCTACATCCAGAACACTGACATCACTGACAAGCGGTGGCTATTTAGCCATGATGGAATTCACCTGAACTTTAAAGGGACAATATCGCTTGCTCGCAACATCAAACAAGCTGCCAGACACACACCTCGCCGTACCTTTCCTGCCCATCATGTACACCAACATCGGCGTAACAATGACATTCATCAGCCACAGCCAGTGCCACAGAAGGATAGCAATATTGGTAACGAACTTAAAATGCTGAGAGACTGCTTAATCAAACTAGAGCATAAGCTAAGGTAATTCTTTTCCAAAGCTAGTTATATGATCACTCACAAGTACAGTAAAGAACTACAAATATCCAGTGGATGCCATATGTAAGTAATAGTCATTATTAGTATTCATTACTTTGAAAGAAAGACTAATAGTCACAACCTATAAAATGAAAGAGTTATAAGTTATTGCAAACATTCTCACTATAGCTTACTACTTATATTCTAAATATACACACAATGGTTATGTTTACTAATTACTTTCCTACTGAAAATAATATAAGGAAAGTGTCTGTAAAAATCACTACATATAATCCATAAGTCAGATGAGGATGTATTGATTTTAATTAAGATGAAGCTGAACTTTTTTTTTTTAAATTGAAAGCTTTAAGTGACCAACTAAATGCTTTAAGTAAATACTGAAAACTACTACTAGTAAGTGAATATCAACAAAAAGAAAAAGAAGATTTTCTCCCTGATTAATTACTAGTATAACACTGAGTAAGTTCATTGAAGTAGTGTGGATAGGTCTTTTTGTATGTTTTTTAAAGAGATATCAATAATTACAGAGAAACATGTTACGCATCGGTATGAGAAATATTAGAGGATTAGCAAAGAAACTTACTGATGAAAACTTTGTTGAGATGGTCGAAAATTTTGATATATTCATATGTGTAGAAACTTTTAGCACCCTGAGATCAAAAATGGTCCTACCTAGTGGAACACATGGCCACTTCTACAAAATAAAAACAAAAAAGAAAACAAAAGGACGCCCATCCGGCGGTATAGTCATAGTCAAATGTGTTCTAGGTTCCAAGCCATTTCTCAAGTTGGGTTTACTAAGGTGTAAAAAGTTCCACTATTTCAGAAAAAAGGAACCCCTTTTGGAATAGCCTTAAGTCGTTTCCATTTTTGGTTTTCAGGAAAGCGGTCCTGTGCAGGAGAACTCTTAGCAAGGCAACAACTCTTTCTAATGTTTACTCATCTACTACAAGCCTTTACATTCCAATTGCCGGAGGGAAGTGTTCTGCCAAAGTTAGAGGGCTCAACAGGGATCACCTACCAGCCTCCAAAGTTTGATGTGTGTGCCCATTTGAGGTTTTGAATTACAAGTATAAATATTTCTAAAAAATATTTTATTAGCAGGAGATAAAAAAAATAACGTGACCAATACAGTCTTTAAAACATTTTGATAAGGATGTATTTCCATTCATATGACACCTATGGAAAGTTTGAAAAGATCTGTAACTGGATGTCACTTGGTCCTCTTTGGCACAATTAACTGTTTTTACTTTTCTCTTCAACAGGAATAAGTGTAACCCTGTATAAAAGGGAATTGGGGCATATCATTGAAACACCTAACATAAAATGCTATAAACAAAAGAAAAATTAAAGTTAGCAAGACCATACATATTGTTCTTGGTAGTCAGCCAGGTAAGAAGAGAACATAGCACCGAGATGGAACCTTAACTAAAGTCTGGAAAAATGTATTCATCGTATACCATGGTTGCTTGCACGATGTTTTCTACCATGTATTCAGGAATGCACTGTTTGATAAAGTCTACAGTCAGCTGATATAATTGAGATTCTTTGTCCAAAGGTTTGCAGATATTCAGATGATCCGTGTCAATTTTGTAATACTCTCCAAATCCAGGATCTGGAAGATAATAATAATAATAATAATAAACTGTTTATCTTTACTACACACAAATAAAGTGGTCCCATGCAATAAGGCTCAACTTATTTTTCCCATTTATATAGTAGATTGTTTATATACAACAATAACCTAGGCCTGATATAGTGTATCAATAATCAAGGCAAAAAACTGAGAAAAATATATACTTACTACTTGAAGTTTCTGGAACTACAACAGATGTGTATGTTCCCAATTTAGGGCTTTTCAGCAATTCTGTTTCTTNGTCAAATGNCNTTTTTTTTTGTCAGTATAAGATATAAGAGTTATTGCTGCATTGTCTAGCTTTCTTTGCATAAGTAAAATATATTTTTAGGATGGTTTTGATATATATTTGTATTTTCATTCCAGACACTTTCAAGCCAAGGAAGCAAGAACATTACGTGTTAGTGTTAATTCATTCTTGGATCATTTGACATTAGTGACACAGACTATAGAACAATTTGGACCCCCTGTGGACACATGACAAGCACTGTAGATGTCACTGCAGTACAAGAAAAACTCTTCAACATTCTGTGATAGCTGTAGCACTGGTCTCTACTAGGAGCTGAATGGAACAAAAGATCAATGCAGTGTTCAGCGGTGGGGAGTTGTTGGTGTAACAGTAATGCTTGGAAGAAATCTTAATGAACAGGACTTTAGTGTGATAGATGGTGTCAGAGAAATAAGATTGGGTGATTGAGGTTGAGCGACTGTTACAGACATGAAG